CCAAGATGGCACTTCTAGCCCAAGCCCCTCCTCTGCCTATGCAGTCTGTTAGGCCAACCCCAGAACACACTAATACATTCATTCCAGCTGGGAGACTAGGTCTACATAAATGAAATCAGGTGAAAGAATGGTCTTGGATCTAGGTGGATTGTGTGCTGGGAAATACTTGATCATGCTGGTATAGGTAGGACCTGCATCCCCACTGCCCCATGGACACCAAGGCACAATCATATGAAAACTGTCATCAAAATGTAGTGAAACTGACTCTTCTGCAAATTGCATCTACTTTGTAAAACCCTGAAAGCTTAGAAGGGGGTGTCTATCTATCTATCTACCTATCTATCTATTTATTTTTAAGATTTATTTATTTATTTGAGAGAGAGAGAGCCAGCAAGCATGCATGGGGAGGGGCAGGGAAAGAAGCAGACTCCCTGTTGAGCACAGAGTCCGATGCAGGGCCTGATCCCAGGACCCCAAGATCAGGACCTGAGCCAAAATCAAGAATTGGATGCTCAACCAACTAAGCCACCCAGGTGCCCCATGAGAAGGGGTCTTTAATCTTTGTCCCTTCTTCACAGGTCTCTTAAGTGATGGTGAACAAAGATGTAATTGTGGCCTAATGAATATATAGGCTTACACATGTGCATTTTTACACCCACGGAGCGAGGAGTGATGAGGTAAACAAGCCTCTTCATCTTTCATTCAAAAAGAACTTAATCTCACATATCCTAAAAGCTTAAAGCTCTGGAGGACTGTGACTCCCTTTCTTTTCAAAGGTATGTTTATGTTGGGATGCCTGGGTCGCTCATTTGGTTAAGCATCCGATTCTTGATTTAGGCTCAGTGTTGTGAGATCGAGCCCTGCATTGGGCTTCACCTGGGCATGGAGCCTGCTTAAGATTCTCTCTCTCTCTCTCCCTCTGCCCCTCCCTGTCTCCCCCAACACTAAATTAAAAAAAAAATCTCTCTTTAAAAAAAAGTATGTTTATGTTTACTGATAATTTTTCTGTTTAAAAAATATAAGCTTAGATCACTTTTCAAATTTATATACCATAAGTTTGTTTACCTGAGAGTCCATAGGCCTGTGATCCTGCTGGGGATCCCAAAACAATTTCTGGAAACATAGAGAGGGGATCTGAAGGTTATATGTATTTAGAAAAGAAAGCCATCTCCCTCATTTCTTTCTCACACAAATTTCTTTTAGTAAATGGTAAGTCATATTTCAAAAAAAATCTGAGTTTGTGCTCTTACAGCATAATGAATGTCACATTTTGAAAGTACTGTATGGGCAACTCAAGGGGAACCACGTGGAGATGTGTAATGATTGGGAGCCCTTATTTTAAGCTCTGCAAGAACCAATATGATTGATTCATTTAGTTTGATTTTATTAAATTAACAATAAAAAAAGTTGTATGAGATTGAAACGCATGGACAGGATGGCAAATAAAGATGACTGACCCTGGGAATCTCTGCCAAGGTTTTATTTGTATGTGTTGGTGGAGAAATGAGGGCTTGAGGCCAGCTCCACCAAGAGACAGACCCAGCTCCCATCCCTAACCCCAGGGAAATGGGATACCTCTCCGTTCTGAAATGTTGATGAGCTGTGGAAGGGAGAAGGACAGGAGAGCAGATGGAATTCCTGGGCAATTGTTCCAGCTGTCACCAGAGAGGACAGGCAGGAGGGAGCACTGGATAATTTACAGAGGAACAGATGCTAAGGCTTCTCCGGAACCATCTGGCCAAGAGAGGCCTGGGCTCGGGGTGGATGTTGTCTTTAGATCTGAGTAAACGTCGGCCTCCAGCCCAGCCCATTCCCTCTACCTGAACAATGGCTTTCCCAGGAGGGCTCTGCTCCCTTAGTGCCCACCTCCAGAGTTCCACCCAGCTCTCATTCTACTCCCTCCTTTGCTGGGCCTGGCTTCTGTCTTTGCTACCAGTCCTGAGAGGGCCAACTCTGGCCCTGGGGGCCTATAACTTCCACCAATGCATTTCCCTATTCTGTAGTATTTTCAACCCCTCTTCCCCACCACTATATTCCAAAATTCCTCTATCATTCATCTCCATGCCATTTATTCATTCAATAAATGTTTATCAAGCACCTACTATGCCTGACATTATTTTAGACATGGGGAGACAGAGATGAATGAGAAAAAGTCCTAGATCTCTGGAGTCTGCACTGTAGTGGGAGATGGTCAATAAACAAATATCAGATAATGATGAGTACTGTAAAAGGAAACATTAAATCAGGGTAAGGGTGAGTGACTGGGGATGCTGTTTTGGACAGAGTGGCCAAGGAAACCTTCTCTAACATAGTGACATTTGAGCAGAGACTCTAATGGGAGTGATATCTGGGGGAAGAACATTCCAGGCACAGGGAACAGCAAACCTAAAAGCCCTGAGTATGCTTAGTGCATTGGAGGATGCCATGCTATTTATTCATTAAGCATTTATGGTGTGCCAGGCACCTGCTAGAGAATATGAACATGCAATCAGACAGTTTTTGCCCTGAAGGAGCAGCAGCTTAGCAAGGGATGCACTATTTAAATAAATGATTATAGCATAGGATAGCTACAATGAAGTTATGTGCAAGTGCCTAGAGATGCCCAGCAAAAGGAGCACCAAGTCCAGTCTTGGGCCTGGGGAAGGCTTTCTGGAGGAGGTGACATTTTGAGCTAAGGGCTGAAGGAGGCACAGGAATTGATTATAAAAGGGGAGGAGAGGGCTTGGACATTTTGAGGGCTGATGGCCTGAAAATACAAGATAATTGGGAACCTGAAATCTCTGGGGGAGGTGGAAAATCAGTCTGGTGAAGGTGGAAGAGGATGGGATCATACGGACCTCCGCTTGGCAAACTGAGAAGTTGCCTTTATCCTTTGGATGACAGGGAACCATTGCTAGCACTATTCCACTATATTCTTGTCTTTTCTTTTCTTCTTTCTTTTCTTTCTTTCTCTCTCTCTTTCTTTCTTTTCTTTTTCTCTCTCTCTCTCTTCCTTTCTTTTAGTACCAGAATCTTTCTTCACTCTTCAGCTCTTGCCTTACCCATGACACCTCGTTCCTTCTCCAGCGGCCAGGCCTCCAAACCCTGCTCTCAGGAGATCCCCATCTTTCCTCAATTACCCGGTGCCCTAATTCCCCAACCCGAAACCACGCCCCTAGCCACGCCCCCGATGACGCGCGGCGCCCGGTGCGTGGGGATTCCCGCGGCCGTGGCCACTACCCGGCCTGCCCCGCGGCAAGATGGCGGCGTGAAGGCAGCGGGCAGCGGCAGAAAGTTTGTTGTGGGATTGGAGTAGTCGGCCGGGAGGCTAGAGTTGGGGGGGATCGTGGGGACACTTTCGCGGAGTAGGGGCGGAGGAGGGACTAGCTCCGGGGTTAAGAAGAAGAAATGGGATGTTGGAAGGTTGGAGGTGGGGGAAAAAAAGAGGGAGATGGGGCGGAGGGGAGGGGGCCTAGGATCCAGCGGCGGCCCTGGGGGAGGGGTCCATGGCGGGGGGAGCACAAGTAGGTTTGCAGGCCCTGGAAAAGCAGTCACAAATTGGAGAGGAATTTCTAAACCGAGAGTAAAGAAGCCTGGAGCTTGTGGCCGAGCCCCGACTGTACTAGGCCGGTAGGAAAGAGGTCTTTCCCATGGAGGAGGATAGTGGGGAGGGGGGCGGAGAGACCTGGAGGATGCTGGGCAGGTTTGGTATGGAGGAAACTAAAGCGTCAGATGACCCTTCTGCAGACTTAGATCAGCCTTTCCAGAGTTCCTATAGCATCTGCCCCAATTTCAGCTGAAGACTCAGGGGCCCCAGGGACTGGAAGAAATCACAGTACCTGCTTGGAAAGAAGAGGTAGCGACTTGCCCGAGCTCAACCCCAGAGCGGGTAAGGTGGCCTCCAATGACAGGCTGGCATGCTCCCTGCAAGCAGGATGCATGGGCTCAGAGTGATACCGAGAAACATTTAATCTGAAAAGGGCTCTCTTCTATAGCTGTTGCCCTTTGCCTGTGGTCTGTAAGTTAGTGTTCTGTTCAGATTGCACACAGCTTTTTGAGAATTGGGTGTAGCATTGAGCCTTGTGTGCCGTCACCTGTAAAAGTGAACACAGCCAAGGGCCTAGAGATGAGGCTGGAAGTGCTTTAACACATCCCTGTCACAAGCAGTTTCCTACATGCTCACTGTATCTTTTTTGGTCTCCCCATCACATCTTCAGTTTGGCATCCTACCTGAAGTAGAGATTTGTGGGTGACAGATGGGGGGAGTCATGAGAAAAAGTCTGCATTCTGTCCCCAACTCCTGAATTCACTCTTGCAGCAGGTCTCCTTCTTTTGAGCTTTCTTTTGGTAAGAAAGGCTCATTAGTGTTTCTTTGGGGTTGTGGATTTGGTGGGTAGGTGGGGTCAGTGGAGGAGGAAAAGCAGGTTGAGGTTAGGGAGAAGAAACCCAGATCAGTTTATGGTAAGGGGTTGACTTGACTGGTGTAAGGCTCTGAGAATATTTATTGTATCACTCTCTGTCTCTGAGATCCCTGATATTTGAGAACTGCTTTACAGTCTGGATCAGTGTGGTGATGGGAGGACAGGGTGGTACACCTTTTCTAATAGCTTTCTTCTCTTCCTTTGTATTCTCGCCGTCCAACCACATTTTTTTTTTTTTTTTTTTTTTTTTATTCATGAGAGACAGAGCGAGAGAGAAAGGCAGAGGGAGAAGCAGGCTCCCCTCTGAGCAGGGAGCCCGATGCGGGACTCGATCCAGGGACTCCAGGATCATGACCTGAGCCGAAGGCAGACGCTTAACCATCTGAGCCACCCAGGCGCCCTCCCCGTCCAACCACATTAAAAAATAATAATAGGGCGCCTGGGTGGCTCAGTTGGTTAAGCGACTGCCTTCGGCTCAGGTCATGATCCTGGAGTCCCGGGATCGAGTCCCACATCGGGCTCCCTGCTCGGCAGGGAGCCTGCTTCTGCCTCTGACCCTCCCCCCTCTCATGTGCTCTCTCTCTCTCTCATTCTCTCTGTCTCAAAAAAAAAAAAAAAAAATCTTTATAAAAAATAATAATAATACTCAGTTTCACTAACCAAACTCGGCATGGCTTAAGAGATAGTGGATTTGGGGTTAGAGAAAAGGAAAGGGGTTTGGAGCCACAAAGTGCAGCGCATACGGTCCTCACTGCCTTTGATGCCCTGTGGTTATGCGCAAGCCAGATTTGGGGGCAGGCTTTTTACAGAAGCTTGTTTCATGACTGGCCTCTACTCCATGATTGGATTGGGAGGTCTAGTTTGATCTAGGACTCCTCACAACCATCTCCTGCTCCCTGACTGCGCCCCTCCCCAAAGGCTTGTTATAGACCAACCCAAATCACTGTTACTAGGCCAGCTTCAATACCTTCAGGTATCAGAAAAACTGATGTTATTTAGTTATGACTCTAGAAGGTTGGGAGCTTTCTCTTCCTGAGGACAATTTGTGGATGCCTCCTTAGAGTTGTGATCAGCAAGGGCAGTGTGGGGAGCACACATAGGGGTTAAGAGCGCTGATTCTGGAGCCAGAATTCCTAGTTCAAATTCTGGCTTTGCTATTTGTAGCTCTGTGACCTTTAGAAATTGTATAGCTCTCTTTGCCTCAGCTTTCTCATCACTCAAACGGAGATGGTAAGAGTACCCATCTCATAAGGTTGTTGTGAGGGTTAAATAAATTAATACATTGATGTATTTAGAACAGTGACTGACACTCCATACATAATTGGTGTTACTGTGCTGGTCAGATCTCAGCACCGACTTCTTCATGACTGAACCTGGTGTCTCTCTGTGGAGGCCCTGTACTGGTTTGAGCTTCTGTCTTGATGTTAGAGAGATAGGCGCAGCTTTTGAATAGTATAGATTTTGCATGTAGTGAGAACATCTTCGTTAAACTGTTTAAACTGATGTTAAAATGCCCATGATTTCCTGTTTGAAGTTGTGAGGTTTTAGAGTTATCTTTGTAGTTGAGCTATAACAATAGTAGTGCTTATTGAGCACATTCTGTGTCTGGCACTGTTGTAAGTGCTTTAAATGTATTAACTAATTTAAATTTTTAAAAAGATTTCATTTATTTATTTGACAGAGAGATAGCGAGAGCAGGAACACAAGCAGGGGGAGTGGGAGAGGGAGAAGCAGGCTTCCTGCCGAGCAGGGAGACCAATGCGGGGCTCGATCCCAGGACCCTGGGATCATGACCTGAGCTGAAGGCAAACGCTTAACAACTGAGCCACCCAGGCGCCCCAATTTCATTTTTATAACAACCCTACAAGCAAATACTTCCATTGTCCCCATTTTATAGATGAGTAAATAGAGGTACAGAGTGGTTAATTTGTTCAAGGTCACCCAGCTAGTAAGGGGCAGAGCTGAGATTTGAACTCAGACTATCTGGCTTCAGCAATTGAGCTTCCTTTTTTTTTTGATTTGGTATGAAATTAACTCTTTATTGAATATGCCTAGTGGCAATTTGTATCTCTTGTTTGTCATGATGGTTAGATTGTAGTAAACTTTTTTGATTTATTTAAAAACTGTTTTAGAAGCTGAGCTCTTCATCACAGCTCTCTCCTTCTCAGATATAAAAACTGGTGCAGGGACTGTGGGAGGGAGCCCACTGCCCTGTTAGCCAAATCTGGACTCTCTCTTCATGATTCAGCTTGGTGACTGCCCTTTGGAAAACCTTGGACCTGGGTTGGGTGAGTGGACTGACATGAAGATCCACCCTTAGCATACATTAAGGGTGTGTGTGTGTATTAATGTAGATATAAATAAAAGGCTCATTTCTGACTTTGATTACTGACAGGAACAGCTGAAGTAGCCATAGTGTTAAATTCTTAGACAATCTGGATGTCATCTTTGTTTTAAAAATAGCAGGTGGCAAACTACACAAAAAACCCACAATAGGTGGCATTTTAAGCAGTGCCGGCCCTCCAGCTTGAGGGGAAAGTGGAAGACAGATGTGCTTCTGCGGAAGCTCCTGTGGAAGCTCCTGTGGTCTATCAAGGAAGGTCGTGGCTCGGCGCTTGCCAGTCTCTTTCTCTTTAGCCAAGCCGGAGGCCCACATGCAGGCTTGGGGCAGAGGTGTGCCCATGGTTTGATTGACTGGCTTTCCTTTGCCCTGCACTTAAGAATCACTCTTCCCCTCCTTCTGAGTCACGTCCTGTCTATTTAACACGCCCTCAGGGCCCATCTTTTTCTTTAGTAAATGACTCTCTACCTTGCCATCAGAGTAGGCACGGGCCTGATGTCTGAGCAGATTTCGGAGGAATAGGGGGCTCAGGACTTAGGACTCTTTCTGGGAATTCCGAGCCAGCCCTTGAATGACCTTTTTCTACTTGTGGCATGTGAGATTTTGAAAGTTAGTATCTGTCAGTGTCTGTTCCCCTCCGCCATTAACTGAGGAGCCATATGTTGTCAGGATAATGTACTTTATCTCGATTTGTGCTGCAGTCAGCATGCTGAAACGTGTCATCTCCATAAAGTACACCTTTGTGTTTTGGTAGAAGTCCTTAGACTTTCTGGATTCAGGTCTCCTTTTAGCAGATGATTGAACTGCAGGCTGAGGCTGATAGATTTGGATCTGGTTCTCTGCCTTTACTGTTCTGGTTTTGTTGTTCACAAAGTCCATTTCTTCTCTTTTTTTTTTTTTTTTTTTTAAGATTTATTTATTTATTTGACAGAGAAAGACACAGCGAGAGAGGGAACACAAACGGGGAGTGGGAGAGGGAGAAGCAGACTCCCTGCCGAGCAGGGAGCCCGATGCGGGACTCGATCCCGGGACTCCAGGATCATGACCTGAGCCGAAGGCAGTCGCTTAACCAACTGAGCCACCCAGGCGCCCTCACAAAGTCCATTTCTTCTCTTAACACACCTTATTCAAGTGTAATCTTTGCATCTAATCCCTTCACCTTTTCCTCAGCGCCATATTCTGAGAGCCAGGGACCTCTGGGTAAACCCGGCCTTCGTCTCTCACCTGGATTCAGCCTCTTCTTTTTTTTTTTTAAGATTTTATTTATTTGACATAGAGTGAGAGAGAGAGAGAGAGAGAGCACAAGCGGGGGAAGGGTCAGAAGGAGAGGGAGAAGTAGACTCCCCTGCTGAGCAGGGAGCCCAAAGTGGGGCTTGATCCCAGGACCTCCGGCAGCCGGAGGCAGCTGCCCAACCAACTGAGCCACCCAGGTGCCCCACAGATTAACAGCTCTGTGAGCTTATTCTCTGTAGCTTCTGGGCCTTTGCACTTGCCAGCCCTGCTGTTTGGAATGCGCTGCCCCCTCCACCCTTTACCTACCTCTTTGTCCTTTATTTATTTATTTTAGAGATTTTATTTTTAAGTAGTCTCTACACCCAGTGTGGGGCTCGAACTACAACCCCAAGATCAAGAGTCGCATGCTCTACCGACTGAGCCACTCAGGAGCCCCCCCCAACCTCTTTGTCCTTTGGTCTCAGCTTAAATGTCTCTTAATTTGGGGTCCCCACTCCTTTTGTGCCTTTCCTCTGTGCTTCTGTGTTAAGACTTAGGCTGCGTTGTAATTGTCTATTTACTTGTCTGACTTTCCCGTGACTGTAAGTGCACTGATAACAGGGACCATGTCTTAATCATTATTGTATTCTACCCTTTAGGATAGTGCAAGGCACTGAATAGGCACTTTATGATGCGGTGGGGCATATAGAATGCATGAAATGTGGTGGGGAATCTCTCCCCATTTCAGTCTGACTTACGAGCTGCTGTGAGAATTGTCTTCCAATGAGCAGCCTCAGTTCTGGCATTTACAATGTTTTATGGTGATTTCTCTGTTTACTTGCTGGCCTCTTTCACTGAGCTGACCCTCTGTAGAGGAGAGACCCTCCCTGACCATGGGATGAGGTGGGGGGCGGATGGGGAGTAGGGAGTGGGGTGAGCGGGGTGATAGAGTCTGATTTTGGAGCAAGGCTGACCTGGTTGAATCTTGATTCTGCGACTTACCAGCTGTGTGACTCTGGACAAATTGCTTAGCTAGTAGGACTTTTGGTCTTGTCGCCTGTACAATGAGGGTGACATTATCTTTTTTGTAGGAGTATCGAGCATTAGAGATAATGAGTTCATGGTGTGTAGCAGGCCACCTGTCATGTGAAGGATACTCAGTTAATATTTGCTTAGTAAATGAGTGCCATTCTGGAAAACACAATGAATAAGAAAAAGGCTTTGTTTTATTCAAGCTAGAATAAGCCTTTTGATCTCTGCCAGGTAGCCAGGAGCCTTTTTGAGGTGGGAGTAAAATTGGAAGAGTCTCTTTATAATGAAGCAATATAAAAGCTGAGACTAGGGACATCGTCAATGAGTAGCCTGTGCAAAATAGTTGATATTTCTCCCCATCTTTTGTGTTGTAATGACTCCTTTGATGGATCCCCTTTACGTGAGGTTGGCGGTGACCTTGGTGGCTATAGGTGGGGGTAGGTAAGTGGTAGATTTGTAATGTAGTTCAGGCTGTGGATGACTGGATGGGGTGTTTAAGGATTCATGTTCCCTGGTGTTTTATGGATTGAGAAATATTGGGTGAAGCTGATAGAACACATCTAGGCATTCAGGAAGCTGGACTTCTTGGCCCTAGTTTTCTTAGGGTTTTGATCTTGTGTCACGGAACAGGGCTTAACTCAGATGCTCCCCAGAAATAGGGCTGGTAGCTGGGAGTTCACTGTCCCTTCTTTGCCTTTTTGTTTTTAGTGTAGTTTATGGGGGTAGTTCTTAGGGCACCAGTTCCCAACAAACACCCGAGGAATGTGTCTCCAGAAGTCTAGACCTCTTAATTGTATAATGCCAGGTGTGTTCCAGTTTGAGTTTATAGTCCAGATGAGGAAGATAGGTTTGAGTTTTTTGGAGGGCAGCCTTCTCGTCTGGTCCTTGAACCCCTGCCCCAGCCAGCTGCCTCTCCTCTGGGCTCTCAAAGCATGTACCAAACTGTATTTGCAAGTGGCTGTTAACCTGTCTCTCTCCCACTCGGGGCAAGATCTTTTAACTCGGGAAGCTTCTTAGAGGCCCTCCGTGGTAGGTGCTGAGCAGTCCTGGTTACTGTGTGGCCCAAACCGGTCCTTCCTTCTTGAAACGAAAGCAGGTCGGACCTATCCTCTGAACTCTTAGGAAGCAAGGTCCTGCGTAAACAAAAGGTGAGAGAATTAGCAATAGCATTACTAGTTATTGTCTAGAGTTGAGTTAATGTGGTTCAGTGATCTTCCAGGTGCTTGGCTTCAGCTGTTTCCCTTTTTAGCCTTCTTATGTTCTAGGAACACATCCCTACGCCAGCAGTAGAGGTTAAAAGCAGAGGTGAAGCACACACCGGTATATTTTCTTGCTAACCACCATCTTCCAACAAGTCTGACTGCTGGTATCCTCTTTGTTACTCATTAAGTTCCTGTGAGTGCCCCATAACCTGCTTGCTTTTCTGGCCATATTGCTCATTGTCTGGGTGCGCTCCCCGCTCACAGCCAGGACCCACGACAACGTTGTTAATGCTTACACGAGTCAAAAGGACGAGACAAGTAGCTGAAAGTGACATGATGGGGTTTTCCCTGGGCTCTACCCCTTGCCCCTCAGTGTGGGAGTGCACGGAGCAGTGTGGCATATCTTTGCCAATGGCGTCTTGGCAGGGCTGGTTAGCTGCTTCGTATGTTCAGCCGATTTGAGAGATGGGGTGAGGCCAGCAGGACGGGGTTGGGCTGTGTACATTTAGGCTTCAGAGGGGCTGAGTCTCCTGCACTGGCCGTGAGTGTGAGAGTGGGACCTCTCGTTAGTTACTATCTCGTAAGTGCCAGCTGTCTGCGAGGTGACCTTTAGAAGCTGGAAAGGACACGGCCCCCCATTTGTGAAGAGCTCTGCTTTCCCAGTGAACTGTGGGGGGATCTCCCTGAGGGCGGGGCCGGGAAGTCAGTCTAGACTGTGCTGGCCTCGCCGTGCGCCTCACTCAGCTAACAGTAGCATAGAACGCTGGGTTTATCATTTGGGGTACTGAACAGGTCTCTGCACCTTCCCAGGTAAGCCTGCGCGGACTTCAGTCTCAGAAGCCTTGGAGGGCCTTTACATCAGGGCAGAATCGTCAGGGCTTTCCTGTGGCTCCCTAGAGGAGGCTGCTTTCCATGCTCTGCCCTGGGATTGGAAACAGAGTTCTATCCCAGTTCTGTCTGTGGTCTTGGGCAAGCCACTGGTCTTCTCTGTCCCTTCAGAATGGGAGAACTCCACCTGTTCTGTGGGCCTCACTGGGCCACAAGAATCAAAGGACATACAATGGAAGGCAAGTGCTTCCAGGATGGTAAAGCACAGTGCACACGGAGGGGTTTTGTCCGTTTGTCCAGGAATGCTGTTTTCATCATAAGCATAATATGTGTCCTTGCATAAAATACCAGCCATACAGAAACATACGCAAAAGAAAAAGTGAAAAGACCCCCCCCTCCTTTCTTCCCCCACTGCTCCAGTCTAAGCCCCTTTCCTAGAGACAGGGAACTATCCTGTTTCCTTCTAATCACTTTTGTGTGCTTCTAGACATTCCTCATGTATCTCTTGTGCTAAAAACACAACTCAGTTGTAGTCCATGCTGTTCTTCAGCTTGCTCTCTTCACCTAACACTTTCCCTGGGGTCAGGCAGCCCCTTTGGGGGCCTCCTTCCCAGCTCAGGGGCTTCCTCTGGGGCTGGGTCCTTGGGAGGGACGGAGAATCTTTACTAGGGTTCTCGCCATACCAGGCCTGCTGGTTATCTCTGAGGGGTGGTTTTTTATGCTGCGATGAAGTCGTCTGGCAGGAGTTCCCTGAGTGGGAATTGGGATGGTTCTCAACATGGCGTGGGCACCACCCCTTCCACCTCATAGGCGTTTCTCCCCGCTGCGCTTCTGGGCTCTGCGGCTGGGAAGAGAATAAACTCACCTGATTTCTCAACCTCTGCTTCAGCGCACAGACAGTCCCTGGTTTCTGAAATCCGCCTGGATTTACCTAGGTTACTTGCTGCTCTGTGTTTTGAAAGCAAACCAGACCTGGCTGGTGTTTTTCGGTTTTATTTGGGGGCGAGGATTCTAAAGGGAGCCTGTCAATGGCCATGAATTCTTAGCAGTCTAGGGAAGAGGTCAGAGCCTATAGGAAGAGTTGTTCTCTCTTCTCGGTGGTCATCTCCCCCTCTGGGGTCAGGCCTTGGCCTTTTGGGCTCTGGGGCTGTTGTCAGAGTACTACGGGGAACCCTGGGATTAGGCAGTTGGGAATGATAAACCTAGGTTTGGGAGGTGGACCAGGCCCCCATGTGGTGCCAGGGTGGTCGCTGTTCTCCCTCCACCCTGAGTCGTCATTTCATCCACAGGGCTTTCCAGACAGAAGAGGAATCCTTCTGGTTTTTCCTTGCCAACATGGTGCCCTCTCAGCACAAGCAGTACTTGCTGCTATATTTGCTGTAGGTCTCCTCTCCTGCCGCTCCAGGGGTCACATCTTGTGGGGTTTCTGGGACTCCACCACTGCGGCTCCATTTGTCTTGAGATCTCTAAGCCACAGGGGGTCACTTCCCCTAGGGTGGTTCTGGAGGCTTTGGGAGAGATGTTTTCTGCTGTTCCCTCTCTGGGCACTGCTCGTTCTGAGCGGGTGGCATGGTCACTGCTGGGTGCGTGAGGAGCCTGGCTGCAGCATGGCCTTTATCCTTGCTCTCTGGGCTCCTCTGGGGCAGCTCCCTGGGAAGTGCCATCCCCCTGGCCTGTCAGAAACTGAAAGGTGGCACCGTGCCACCCCTTCCCACGGCTGGCCCACCTCTGGGCCAGGTCACACACTGCCCCATTGTATGGTGCCTGCGATGCGCTTCTTGTCGCGGCCTCTGATCCCCGCGCCAGTCCTCTCCTGGCCCCTTGCCTCGGAGCCTGGGGGAGGTGGCGGGGTGGGCTCTGCTCGCTCAGGCCCGGGGTGGGTGGCCGCGGCAGCTGTGGCCGGCTTTGTTCTGACAACCCTGCTTTCGGAGCTGTGGCGCGGCCTGGCAGCGGTGTCCAGGGAGAAGGCAAGGCAGGGGAGCGGCCCTCTGGCAGCTGTGCCCCCTTCCACCACAGCTCCCCTCTCTGCGCTGACCAACCAGAGGGCCCTGTCACCTGGGGCCAGCCAGCTGGACTCACTGGTTGGCGGGGGGCGTGCTGCCCTTCCGCCTGGCCTGATCTGTGGATGGGAGAAGGCCCCCGAGGGTCTAGTGGTAAGTCTGGAGGAGCTTCCCCTGTCAGAAGAGCCCAGTGTGTACCCTCAGGCATCTTGCAGCTTGGCATTCCTTCTGCTCTCTCTTTGCAGCTCCAGAGTCGGGCTGCTCTCAACCAAGCTGTCTGTTTATATGGAGTGCCTGGAGGGCGTCTGCCATGAGTCTGTCGCTAACCGTGCTAACCAGGAGAGCTGGCTGGTTGGGCAGAAGACACTAACCCTGTGAGTCTGACCTGGGCCAGCTAACCTGCCCTGGGGGCACCGCCAGCAGTGCCTCTTGTCACCCCCCCACCCTCCCCAGCCAGCCTGGCTGCCTCCTCCCCTTAGCTTACCTCATGCCTCCTCTGTTCTCTTGCCCTCACTGCTGTCTCTCCATCTTCCCAGCCTCCTTGCTGTGGTGTATGTGTGTGTGTGTGTGTGTGCGGGGGGGGATATGTGTCTTCTCTAAGGCTGAGAGAGGGGGATTTCCTATGCACAGACGCCTGCCCATCTGCCAGCCTGCTGCTGGCTTCTGCCGACCCCAAGCTCCCCTCAGTCAGTACCGTACTGCCTAGCTCTCCCTTGAAACGATTGGTTAGTTTCTGTTCAATCTGCTCTCAGCATTATGGAATTTGAGACTTATCTTGCAGTGACCATGCTCTGTTTCACACCTCAGAGACAGATGCAGCCAGAGTGGGAGGGGAGTTTTCTTCTTGACTGGATAGTTGCTTCCCTTTGTCAAGTGGGGAAGACTGAATGGTGTCCCCATTATTCTCACCCCAGGATAATCATTTAGGATCAACTGCAAGGTTCTCCTTAAGGTTGGTGGGGGGGATTGAGGAAAACCGTGGCCTGGTTGTGGGAAACTCCCTGGGCAGAGAGTGAAGCTGAAAGGTAGAGTCTGGAACCAGGTACTCACCTGAGATGTAGCTCATGGCACCCATTGCTCTGGTAGGTGGAGTGGGTGGAGTTTGGCCCCCCACTGCCTTCCATGGGTGGAGCTTCAGGTGGACTTTAACCGAGAAGAGCTGGAAGGGCACCTCTGCCAGGGCAGGCGGGCCCTAGCTTTGGACTGCACAGTGGGCCTGGGAGAGGCCTTGGCCTCAGACTGGGAGACTGGTGAACAGCCTGCCTTAGAGAAGCTCCCGCCAGACTCCCTTCTTCCAGGGTTGGAAAGGAGAAGGGGGCTCTGGGGATAGCAGGAAGGCCGATTGCTCGGGGCTCCCTGGTGTTCTGCGCAGGAAGCTCCTTAGACAGCCTCTCTGGCTCCAGCCTCTGGAGTCCGTGCAGTACTGCCTAGGCTGGGGGGGGGACTTGGGATCCGAAGGTCCTCTGGGTGGGCTGTTTCCCTTGGGCCAGGAGGGAGAAGCAGGGAGCTTCCTGCTAGTATGGGGTGTGAGAGGGTGTAAGGGCTGCCTGGATGTGTAGGGACCCTGAGTCGGGAGTAGCAAGCTGGAGGGGCGCCTGGTGGCTGGGCTCTGACCAGGAAAACAAGAGGGGCCTGCAGCGGCCCTTACCTTGCCTTTCCTTAGGCGATGGCATGGGGACTGTCAAGTGCTGGTTGATCTTGGGGACTTTTGTCCCTCTCTTTATTTAGTGGAGGTTCCTTGGATCATCATCAATAGTTGTCTTCAGTCCCTTTGTTCCTGTCAGGTGTTTGCTTGAGTGAGAGGCCAGCTGGATAGACTTGAGGTATTTGCTCAGGTGGGAGCCAGCTGAGCTCTCGAAGGTCCCCAGCACTAGTTTGGAGTCCTCAGGCTTACTCTGAGGCAGAATAATTCCCACCCACTTTTTAAAAACCTGTCAGTCGGTACCGCTTAGAGCAGGCAGGGGGCCAGGTCGGGGCCGCAGGCAGCTTGGCCCAAGAGGGTGAGGTTGTACTTGCCCAGAGGGGTGGCAGGCATGGCCGCTGGAGGGGCAGCAGGACTGGTCTGGGCACAGCCTGGCATCTCCCAGCCTAGTCATCGGCCCAGAGCAGAGCCTGCCCAGGCCCCACCCCATGCTCTGCTGGCTGCTTGCCTGCCACGCGCCCAGGATTGCTGAGGGCTTTGCTCATGTACCTCAGGAACAGCTGCGTGCCGGAAACTGGGGGTTGGCAGCAAGCAGGAGGGGCACCCGGGGGGGGGCGATGTGGGGGAGGGCTGAACCCAGCCAGCTTTGGTCGGGTGGGCTCGCCGTGCTGGGGGAGGGGGGCTGTATTAATGGTGGTTGGGGGGGGCTCCTTGCAGGCAATCTCCAGGGCCTCTGCTGGGTCGCCTGGCTACAGGGCTGGCCCTTGCAGGGTGATGGTTCGTGTTTCTTGGGCCTCAGTTGGATGCAGACCCTGAATTTCAGAGTCTTGAGAGGCAGCCAGGCTTGTATGGCAGGAGCGTGCCCTGCCCCCGAAGGCGCAGCTTCCTCCAGGCCCGCGGAGTTCAGGCTCTCTATCCAGGGCTTACAGCCGAGGATGATTCCCACAGAGGAGGCACTAGGTCCTGTGTGACCAGACATTCACATTTTAGCCATTGATGAGCGGCTTTAGGAAGGGCCTATGTTTATTTTTGTTACTTATTTGTGTCGTGCTGGGTTCCACAGGGGAATTAAGGCAGCATAAAACACAGCTGGAGTGTTCTGGAAAAGGGCCGGTTTCCTTTCATTCTTAAAGTGGTAGTGATTGCTAATTGAGTGATTTTGTTTGACTTTCTTCAGGTAAATTAGGAAGCGCTTTAATGATTTTTGTGGTGATGTGTGGCCCCTCCCTGATGGTCCCTCACTTGCTTGAATCGGTGAAGGCTGTGAGAAGAAAGGCATATCAGTAGGTTCGGAAATGGTCTGAGCCCAGATAAACTGTTGGGGCCATAATTTCTTACAGAGTGTGGGTGATGTGGGGAGCAGGGGAGGCAGCCGGGCTCCCTAGGGTAAGGCAGGGGAACTGGGGCGGGTGGAGTGAGGTCGTGGAGCAGGACTTGGGCAGCTGGAGACCTCCGTGGGGGCAGACTGAAGTGTGAAAAGCCACGGAGCCACACCCATTTTGGTTTCACTCCTGTCTCCTTCCGTAGGGGCAAGGCTGGAGGCTCGGACCTCCCTTCTCCTGAACCTTTGACTTTGCCCTGGGCAGACCCACAGAAAAGATGGCAGAAGGAAGTGAGAGGGCGCCCTGAGCTCTTGGGCTTGAACCTTCTTGCTGACACCTACTGTGGGTGTCTGCAGAGAGTGGGAGTGAGGATATATGGTTTGGGGAAAATCTGAATTCTGAAGGTTTCTCCTTACCCTGCTCCATCTCTAGCAGTGGTGAGCCCTGACCATGGTGGCAGCCCCGGGTCACATCCGGGCACTTACCCACAAAAGGGAGCAGGTGTGAGTCCCATCTCCTGGGTAAAAGGGATGCTTGGCAAATTTTTTTGTCCTTTGATTAAAGGTTTCTGCCCAGTCAACGTCCGGCGCACATTTTTCCTTATATCTGCCTCTGACTACACTCTGTGCTCAGCTGTTCAGTGGGTTCACAGTGCAGGTTTGCTGTGCGTGCTGAGTCCCATTTCTAATGAAAGTAGACTTTGTTCTCTGGAGGCAGCTAATCGTGCCCCATGGGCTGTAATCAGGGAGAAGGTATTTAATACAGGGCAGGCGGCAACAGGCGGCCTGCACTGACTGGCAGATTGCAACATGGCAATTAGGAAGCTCTCACCCCCCTCTTCGCCCCAGCAGAGCCCGAGGAGGCTCTCCTCTGAACGGAGTTTGAGTGAGTGAAGAATGAATGCTATGCAGAGGAGGAACGGGGAGGCGGTGCTCGGGGGGGGCGGGGGCCTTGAGGAGAGCCCCTTTCCCTTTGCTTTTCCTTCTCCAGGCTGCTCTGCGTGTCTCCCTCAGGCACTGCTGACCTGGGTCAGCCAGAGGTTTTCACCTAAGCCTCAGCCTTTCTCCCCATGCACAGCTGTCGTAGTGCAGACCCAGCGGGTGATCTGGTAGCCCCACATCCCGAGTCCTCTGCCCCAAGTTCCTTGGAGCTCAGGTAGTTTGGGGTGAGGGGTGGGAGTGGGATTCTTCTTGGTCAATTTTTAGACCTTCCAAAAGACCATTTTCTTGGAGGTGTCCTGGAGCCAGCTCAGCAGCCAGAGGCCAAGAGACCCCAAAGGCCGCTTGCTTGCTTATCCTGGCCCGTATCCCATTCTGAGTTAGCCAGCTGCTTTCCCTGGGGACTTCTTCTTGACAAGGGTTTGGGAGCCCTCCTTGGGCTGAAACCACTCCAAGGCAACATGGGAGTCTTTGGGTGAAAGAGACGTGGCCAGTAGAGGCCGCACCTGGTGCTTGGGTCTTGCCGGTGGGACTGCTCTGCTGTCTTGCAGCTCACCTTTTAGCTTCTCCTGGCTGTGGGCCTGGTGTCTAGCTGCTTCTCGCTTTGTTCTCCAGTGTCCCTGGCATGGCTCTCCCTCCAGGGTCTGTCCTGCCTTGCTGTGCTTCCAGTCAAGGACAGTGGCCTGTCAGGCCCATTGCATTCCTGTTCAGTGCTGGAATTGTCTCCCTGCTCTTCCCCCCCGCCCCCCGCCCCCGTGGGCTGGATCTGGGGCACTTAGCGCATCTCAGGAGTTGGAGCTAGGGCCCCAACGTGTACTGGTGTTTATGGATGTGGGGCAGGGAGTGAGAGTGAGACGGACTCTCCCTCCTGGGCTTGTGCTGGGGACACTGCAGGCTCTTTTGCCGACTGTTTCCCTAGTGGGCCTTGCCTTCTGTTTCCTCGGTTGGGAGTGGCTCCCTTCTTGTGGCTCTGATGTGTATGGAAAGAGTAGGCTCTGGCCAGGATAGATAACTGCCTGCCCTTGCTGGCACCATTCATCCCGGAGCGTCGTGTTTGCAGTACTCCCCCATCTCCCTGCTATAGCCACTTCCACACTGTCCCTCAGCAAGCCAGGTTATCTGGCCAGGAAAGCCCTGGGATTATGTGGTGTGAGGCCAGGGAGTAGAGACTTGCCATCAGGGTGAGGCAGGATCTGTGACAAGTAGAGCTAGGGCTGCGGGGCATGGAGTGAAGGCCACTCTCCTTCAGGGAGGATCCCCAGGTACCTGAGCGTGCCTGTGTGCTCCTTGCATGCCCGCCTGCCATCCATTCAAGTGTCCTGGTACCTAGAGGCCAGAGTGGGTATTAGCAAGAATAGGGCTAAGGAAGAAAAGAGGCTGAGAATCGAGGGGGTCCGAAGCATGGCCTGCAGGGAGAAGGGGACTGCTCAGCTGATGGGGGGTACAGATGGGAAAGGGAGCAGGCCCAACTCTGGAGCTCCCCCGCCCCGGATTTTGTAGAGGTTCTTGGCTTCCTGTATCTCTTATTCCACGTCTCTGGCTGTCGCCTTTTCTAACTCATGTACCCCGCACTTAACACCCTCAGACTATCAGCACCCAGCTATGCAGGCTGGCTTGGAACTTTCTGGGCCTCTCCCCCAGGCCATAGGAGCTCACACCCTGCGGCCCGCAGGAGGGGTAGCCCCGGGGAACCTGCGGGGGTGACTTGTTTGCTCCCCCACACCCCAGGAATGTGCTGTCCTTTTGGGCCCGCCCGGATTCCTGTGCAAGGAGTCAGCTCGACACAGCACACTGCTTGTGCCCTGTGGGGACATGTCCGCCTCACCATCAAAGGGGTGGAGGTTGGCGGCTCGTGCCTGCTGCCATGCCCCAGCTCCCCCCAGAACCCCAACCAGAGACCAGGCTGCCCAGACAGAGGAGGGAGGCCACTCCTGCTTGCCCACCCTCCCTACCCCTTCACCGTTCTTCCTGCCCCAGGCTCTGTTGGAATGTGACAGGAGTTGCGGCCAGGGCATGTCCCGGCAGCAGGAACACATGCTTTAGCCCGCAAGGCTTCCCTCAGCCCCCAGCTCTGTTTAGGAGGATAGCGGCGGGAAGATTGCTTATGCCCGAAGCCACCTAAGGTTACTGCCTCCACTGGTCCCTGTGGTGGTTACTGCCCCCGTGCTGCGGCCCGGCTCATTACAGGAGGGCGCAGAGCCCGGCAGGCCCAGAACCCGCCGGGGGCCTCACAGGTCACTCAGTCTGGTCCCCTGTGTGTGGAAGAGAGACCAGTGAGGGACTGAGCCGGGGCCACGCGGGGTGTCAGAAGCAGCACAGCCTGGAGCCCAGTGTCTCAGCTCCCCAGGCTTGGGCCTTCTGCACCAGAGTTTCTCAGCCTGGGTGCTGTCAACATTGTGTGCTGATAATTCTTCATCGTGGGGCGCTGTCCTGTGTGTGGCAGGATGTTCAGCAGCACCCCTGGCCTCTCCCCACTAGATGCCACTAGCTCTCCCCTCTGTTGTGACAGCCCTTCACACGTGGCCAGGGATCTGGGAGGGGGCAAGTGAGAGAGATGGGGGACCCCAAAATCACCCTCGCTGAGATTGCTCAATCATTGCTCTAACTGCTGCTTTTTCAGATTTTTCTCTCCTGTGCCTACCCTTCTTCATTGCAAAGTCTGTGTAAAACCGTTACATGCGGAAGTAGTCTTTGGGCTTCTGGAAACATTGCTAGGAACTTTTCCCAGCAGCTTCTCAGTCTCTACTAGGCTTTTTCCTGGTGTTCTCTTCTGCAAGCCGTGTTCCCCAGATCTCTTAGTTTCCAGACTCTGAGAGGCCTGGGAGATGAACAGGACAGATGTGGGGTAGGATAGGGACAGGACAGGACCAGACCTATTCCAGAATCAGGCATGTGGTAAGCTGAGGCCATGAGCACATACAAGACGTGCATGTGTGTCGTCTGGGCCTGTGACCGCCGCTTTCATGGAGAAAGGAGCCCCGTGCTTCTGGTCCTCTCCTGCCTCCGCTGCTTTCCCCAGATTCCCTGGGCCGTAGCTTTTCTGCCTGGCTCTCCCTGGGGGGCTTCCCAGTCCTGGACTGGGTAGGCCGGCTGAGGGCACTGAGAGACCCGCAGCTGACACCTGGTTTCCACTTTCTTTCCTTCTCCGGTTTCAGGAGCTGTTGGCTAGAGGAAGTGGAGGGGCCACGGGATGCGGAGAGCCGAGGGCTAACTGTGGGACAGCGGAACAGAGAGAGCTGCCGACAGTCAGACGGTATGTCCCTGGGGGGCCTGCACCCCTCCTTGGCCCCCTTCCGGAGAGCCTGGTGGGCCAGGGGGCAGGCAGGTGGCCCCTCGTGGTGGGGGCTGGTGAAAAGAGAGTGGTGGAGGCCAGAGAGGCTTGGCCTTCAGGACTCTCAAGCTGGGAGGACCCCCCCCAAGGTGCCTGGGTTGGGGAGCATCTTCAAACCCTTACTTTCTGGTTACTGGGGGTGTTTTTGTTTGTTTGCTTTCTGGGGTTTTTCTGAGCTCACACATATGGAACGTCTCCTAAGTACCAGGTAACTGTGGTTAGTGGCTTATGTAATCTTCACAACAGGTCTATGAAATTGGTGCTCTCCTCATCCCCAGTGTAGAGTTAAGGAGACTGATGCAGAGGGAACAATTTTTCCCTCTGAGGCACTTTTGTAAGCCCACAGAGGTGAACAGTGGGCTGCTCTTAGATACCTTGTCCCACTCCTAGGCTGTAGTCCACTCTTCTGGTGCCCAAGCTGTGGGCCCTGCCTTTCCCACCCATCTGGTCGCATTGGGCCCTTGTCCCCTCCAGCACTTCCCTGACCCATGGTCACTGATAGACCAGAGTCCAGGTTTCTAATGACCCCAGCAATGGCCCAGGCCTGTCTGTGTGCCTGGTGGCTCCTACATATGTCCCTTTTACTGGCCTTTTTCCCTCAGTCCAGGGGCCTCTTGCCCACTCTCTGAGCCTCCTCCTCCCTGGCTTCCCCACAGCAGGTTGAGGAGCCCTCACCTCCCAGAATGACCAGTGCGGCACCTGCTAAGAAACCGTACCGTAAGGCACCCCCTGAGCACCGGGAGTTGCGGCTGGAGGTTCCAGGATCCCGGCCGGAGCAGGAGGTCAGAAGACTTATACTCCTACCCTGGCTGGCAGTTGCACGCCCCTGAGGCTGGGTGTCTGACTGACGTCTCCCACCTGAGGGCACTTCTGGGCCCCTGAGTGGGGGTGTGAGTGTGGCTTTGCTGATTTACGCTTGGGGGCTCCTAGCTGCAGCCCTGCTGGTGGGGGCAGTGGAGGCTTACAGGACGGCTGTGAGCACATGTCCCCACGTCAGGGAACCCCAGAGTCTTTATGGCTCAACGGAAATGCTCCCAGGCAGTATTGTTTTTCCTGCAAGAGGCAGCCCACCAGACTGAGGGTCCTCACACGCGGGAGGCTGGGACTGTGTGGAGGAGGTGGTGCTCCGGCTTCTTCCCACCAGACCAGCTGTTCTTTGCTGTCCCCGGAAGTCCGGCCCTTCCTCCAGCTTTGCCTGGTCTGGCTAACATTTGTGAAGGACACACTCCCCGCCAGCAGCTGTGTTAGGTTCTTAGGAGGCCTTCTTTGGGCCACTGTGAAACAGTCTCCAAACTGGCTGTCCTCCCTCATTCGGTTTCCTCTCAGGAGGACATGAGTGTTGCAGTCAATTCACCTGGCTGCTTGTCCCCACCCTGTTGCCGTGCATAGAGCACGTTTACAGAACTCAGGAGAGCCTCCGGACCCGCTGAGCATCAGGTGTACCATGGTCCGCTCTGGTCCAATTCAGGGCAGGGATGCCGGGACTTGCCCGTTTTCAGTTCAGGGAACATACAGTGAGAAGGCCAGGTATTGTGCTAGGTGCCATCCTGTGGGCATTCCCTTGGTTTTGTAGATGAGGACACTAAGGCTCAGCAAGGTTAGTACAAGCAGAGTGTGGTAGAATGGGATAAAATCCCGGGGTCCTCGGCTCTGAAGCCCATGGGTCGGGCCACCCACCTCATTTTCCGGCCTGTGATCGGCATTCTGAAGCAGTCGGCTCCATTTGGAGTGGGCCCCTTGACGTTTCCCTGCTCTGTGGCTGGCTGAGCTCTGGCTCTTGGGCTGTGACCAGCGTGGGGGCTTCGGGAGAATGGGGCAGGAGGCTCCAAGCAGGACAAGGGTAAGACATGTCACTCCTCTCAGTCAGGACTAGACCAGAGGCTCGCTCTTTTCTTTTTTTTTTTTTAAGAGATTTTATTTATTCATTTGAGAGAGAGAATGAGAGACAGAGCACATGAGAGGGGGGAGGGTCAGAGGGAGAAGCAGACTCCCTGCCGAGCAGGGAGCCCGATGCGGGACTCGATCCCGGGACTCCAGGATCATGACCTGAGCCGAAGGCAGTCGCTTAACCGACTGAGCCACCCAGGCACCCCCAGAGGCTCTTTCACCCATGTTCTTGTTCCTTCTGAGCCCCTGGAAGGACCTGATTCTGCCCCATCTTCCTCCAGGGGCCAGGAGGGCTTTGTCAGAGCTCAGAACCCTACTGTAGCTCACTTGGCTTCTTCACTTCTCTGGAAGGTCTCTGCCATGCCTGCAGGGCTCACTAGGAGCCCAGGGAACAGCTGGGAGGCTCTCTTTATCCCTGGGAAATGCAGCGTGGGTACCAGGACTCATTTGCAACTTGCTCTAGAATTACGAGAGGGGTTGGAAGTGGTGTGGGTAAGGGTGAATGTTGGAAGGGGTTCTCGAACCTTCTGGTTGGCATGGGAGAGAGTGATCTAGGCTTGTCCAGATTGCCTCCATCTAACAGGGCCCACTTCTGTGAGATTGTTTGGGCTTCAGAAATAGCCCTTTCCAGGGCTCTTTGGGGGGTGGGCAAGCAGTGTGGGCCAGTGGTCTAGGGCTGAGCCTCAAGCTTCCATTCTTTTGTGCCCAGGAACCCCTGACTGATGCGGACAGGATGAAGTGAGTATCTGCTGCCCGAGAGCCTGCCCTGCCTTGCCTCAGCACTTCCCTCTTAGCTCCAGGGAAGGCTGTTGGTACCGCCGGGGCTTTTCATTGGATTAGGTAGAAGTAAAGGTTGGGTGGGGTATTTAGGGACTCTGGGAGGAGGCTCGATGTGGATGTTCCTTCTGGAAAGAGTTTTTGTTCCATGGGCTCCAAGAGAACCTGGAACCGAGGAGGTGGGTGCTCGGAGGGGCCTGCTCTTGCCAAGGAGCCCTTCCCCAGCTCCTGGTCCTCCTGTACCAGCTGCCTCCCTGCAGCCCTTTCTGTCAGCCCCGTCAGGCCTTTGGAAAGGAGGTCAGTGCCGGGCTGGGTTTCTAAGAGACTAATCATGGAGCAGCCTGATTGCGCGGTGGGGTAACTGGAGCTGGAGGGTGTGGTGGCCGGCTGGCTTAGGCTGTAACCAGAGACAGATGGGGGAGTCTTACCCCCCACGCCAGTTCTGTCTTCTCATTCTCAGTGGCCCCCGCACTGCCCCCAAGCCGGGCTGTGTTCCCAGGGCCAGCAGGCATATGGAGTATGCTGCCCCAGACTCAGACTCCTTCTCAGGGAGTCCCTTGCCCCGCCCCGCGCTGCCTTTGCTCATGTCATACCTACTCCTTCAAGCTTCTTGAGCCCAGCCTGGGGTTCCAGGGCTGGCCCATCTTAACGTGGATGCCCCTCTGTCCTTGACCCCTCCCCCCGCCAGGCTCTTGCAGCAGGAGAATGAGGAGCTCCGTCGGCGCCTGGCCTCGGCCACCAGGCGCACCGAGGCCCTGGAGCGTGAGCTGGAGATCGGGCAGGACTGCTTGGAGCTGGAGCTGGGCCAGAGCCGCGAGGAGCTGGACAAGTTTAAGGACAAGTTCCGCAGGTGTGGGAACGAGGGGCCAGGCATCCATGCACGCATACACACGCGCGCGCACACACACACACACACACACCCCGCCTGCCCTATTCATTGGAGGTTAGCGGGATGAGGCCTCAGAGATCATCTGATTCTGATGGGGAAACCGAAGCCCTGGGAGGAGAATGACCTCCCCCACATCCCATATCAGGGAGGGGCTGAGGAGGGCCTGAGGAGCAGATCTTGACCCAGGGGTCGGCCTTGTGTTCCTCCACAGGCTTCAGAACAGCTACACGGCTTCTCAGAGGACCAACCAGGAGCTGGAGGACAAGCTGCACACGCTGGTAATCTCTCCGGGCCGGGGGGTGGGGCATGGGGGCACTTTGGCTGGCACTGTGCTCACAGCATAGCAGGGGGCTGGGACTTGCCTGGGGAGTGCCACTGTGCCCTGGGGCTTGGGACGGGGGCGGGACAGTGGCGGGCAGGGGACCGCAGTGTGTGCTGTGCGAGTCGGGACTGTGTTAGTGCTCACACTGTTTCTCTTCTCTCCCGTCTTCCCCTCACGCTGCCGCCGCCGCCGCCGCCCTCTCCTGGCAGGCCTCTCTTAGCCACAACTGGATCTTTGCAGTTGCGTCTGAGTTTGTGTGTTTCCTCCCTTGCCCTGGCCTCCTCCTCAGCTGAGATCTGGGGTTGCTGGGGCCCCGGCCCTTTGCCTCTGCCCCCTGCTTTCCTCCTCCTTACGTGAGGCCCGCTCGGTACAGTGCCTCCCTCCTGGGGGACAGCTGCGGAGCCGGCTCTTGGCTCGGGCAGAGGTTCTGGTTGATGTCACCACTGAACACTCACGGCTTCTCGGCTGTGGTGGCAACAAGCCCAAGCCATTTGGCCGGGGGCGGGGGGGGCGGCGGGGAGCGGGGTGAAGGGGCGCCAGTCCCTGAACTGAAGATCAGAGGGCTGCTGCTGAGCCCGCTGCTCCCTCCTGGCTCAACTAGATAATCTCACAGGCGCCCCCAGCTGCCACCCAGCCCCATCCCTCCTCCCTCTTCCTAGCCTGAGCCTGGAAAGCGCTCCACGCGTAGGCTTTGGCCCCTGGGTTTGCACACTTACTGCTTCTCAGTTCAGGCTGCCTGACCTGCTGTGTAGAGCCCCTTGATGGACGGCTCTCGTACAGCCTCTGTCTGGGGCCCCGGTGGCAGCAGGTCTTGTTCAGAAAGCCCCCACCCCACAGCCAGCCCGGAGAACAGGAGAGGTGGCTGGTCTCCTTCTGTCTGTCCATCGTCTGTCTATTCCGTCCGCCTTGGCTGCCCCGGCACCTGTGGCTTCCTGTGTCTCTGGGCTGGGAGGAGGCGAAGGGGAGGAAGGCCGGCGGGGGCGGGGCGAGGCTCACGTGAGTTTTGTGCCTCAGATCAAGAAGGCTGAGATGGATAGGAAGACGCTGGACTGGGAGATCGTGGAGCTGACCAATAAGCTGCTGGACGCCAAGAACACCATCAACAAGCTGGAGGAACTCAACGTACGTGCGCCACGGGGCCCCTCCCGCCTGCGGCTGCCTCGGCCCGGCGCAGCCCCGCTGCCTGGAGCGCGGCTGCCCAGTGACCCCCGCCTGTGTCTGCAGGAGCGGTACCGGCTGGACTGCAACCTGGCTGTGCAGCTCCTCCAGTGCAACAAGTCCCACTTCCGCAGCCACAAGCTCGCCGATGTGAGCCCAACGGCGTCCCCTTAGGACTCCTCTCGCTCGGGGTTTGATACCTCACTCTGCCCTGCCTCCACTCCCCCTTTCTGCTTTGCCTTCCCCTCGCCTGCATGTCTCCTCTCAAGTCAGTCAGCTCTGCCGCTGGTCGGTGTGCGTGCGCTGTCGGGGCCATCGCTAGGGCGGTATTTCTGGAACAGAGACAGGGAGGCGCCCCATTTCGGGGTCCCGTGCCGGAAGGTGGGGGTGGCCATCAGCTGTAAGCCTATCGAGAGGGGATTAGGCCCAACTGACCGCCTTCCCCCAGGAGGCAAACTCTGGGCCCGAGGCTGCTGGCCGTACCCGCCCTCAGACTTCCGTCTGGTTTGGGCCGAAGCCGCAGCTGAGGTGGGGGGAGGGGGCATTTGAGGGGGCGTTTGAGAGCCCTAAGGGCTCTGGGACCCGATGCTGGGTATGTTGCTCAGACTCTTCAAGTCGGTTCGCCCCTGCCGAGCGTCAGAGGGTCTGTGAAATGAGGCTGTCCCCCGGCCTGGTGGGAGACCCGCGTGGTGCTGCCCGGGCGGGTGCGGGGGCCATTGTTTCTGCTCTGAGGCTGGGAGCCTTCATGTCTCTCTTCCCTTCTCCCGCTCTTTTGCCCCAGCTGCCCTGTGAGCTCCAGGACATGGTCCGGAAACACCTGCACAGTGGTCAAGAAGCTGCCGGCCCGGGCCCCGCCCCTAGCCTGGCCCCGGGGGCCGTGGTGCCCACGTCGGTCATTGCCCGAGTGTTAGAGAAGCCGGAGTCTCTGCTGCTCAATTCGGCGCAGTCGGGCAGTGCCGGGCGCCCCTTGGCTGAGGATGTCTTTGTGCACGTGGACATGAGTGGGGGTGGCCCGGGTGACCCAGCCAGTCCCCCGGCCCCTGGCAGCCCCCCGCCGCAACCCAATGGAGAATGCCGCTCTCTGGGCACTGCTGGGGCCTCCCCAGAGGAGGAGGTGCCCCTGCCAGCCTTCGAGAAGCTGAGCCCCTACCCCACCCCGTCCCCACCACACGCGCTGTATCCCGGCCGCAAGGTAATAGAGTTCTCTGAGGATAAGGTGCGAATCCCCCGCAACAGCCCCCTGCCCAACTGCACTTACGCTACCCGCCAGGCCATTTCCTTGAGCCTGGTGGAGGAGGGCGTGGAACGGGCCCGCCCCAGCCCAGTGCCCAGCAGCCCCGCCTCGGCCCAGGCCTCGCCCCGCCACGAGCCCAGCCCTGTCCCCCCGGCACGCAGCGCCCCAGCCAGCTCTGCCGGCTCGGAGGAGGACCTGCTCGCCAGCTGGCAGCGGGCCTTTGTGGACCGCACCCCGCCCCCGGCCGCTGTGACCCAGCGCACAGCCTTTGGACGCGATGCACTCCCTGACCTGCAGCGCCATTTTGCTCTGAGCCCCACTGACAGAGATGAGGAGGTTCTGGCACCTTCTTCCCCACCTGGTGAGAGTGGGCTTTTGCTGCCCACGGAAGCTGACTGTGGCCCTCCCAGGGAGGAGGAGGAAGAGCTGAACCTGCCCGTCAGCCCTGAGGAAGAACGCCGGAGTCTGCTGCCCGGTGATAACGGCACAGAGGAGGGGCCTGTCGCTTCCCACGCCGAGGGCAGGGCCTGGGCACTCCCCAGCTCCAGCCGCCCCCAGCGCAGCCCCAAGAGGATGGGGGTGCACCACCTGCACCGCAAGGACAGCCTGACCCAGGCCCAGGAGCAGGGCAACCTGCTCAACTAGGGCCCCCGCTTGCCTTCCTGCCACCGCTGCCCTGGGACCGCGGGAGGCCCCCCGCCCCCGGAGCCCTCCTCCCTCAGGCCGGCTCAGCTCTGCTCCTTGTGCGGGGCAGGGGCAGGGGCAGGGGCAGGGCCGGCCACACCGGGCCTTTTAGCTGCATTGACTATGACTGGCACCAGCTTGCCTCGTAGTTTTTCCCTTTTTTCTTGGAATATGTACTCCCCAAAGGCAACCTGCAGCTGGGGCTCAAGACCCTTCTTCCGGTCAGCCCAAATTGGGCTGTTCTGGGGCGCTGAAGGATCTGTTACATCAGTGTTCATCCTCCATCTCCCTTTCATACCCCAAATTGTTTTCTTGTTTGTTTTCTGGGGGGCGGGGGGGCGTCGTTGGGATTATTAACCTCTAATTTCTGTTTTCCGCCTGCTTTCCTCCCCTCAAGTCCTCTGCACGAGCTGTTGCCTTCAAGGGGCCCTTGGGGGATGGGCGAGAGGACTCACTCAGGGCTCGCCTCTGCTGTGTCCATCCTCCCTCTGGAAGGGAGGAGAGGGAGGGATTCAGGGGCCTCAAGCTGGGCTCTAGGTGAGGCCTGGCCCCCTCCCAACCTTGGCTCTAGACTGTTACTCCCAGCTTTGGGAAGTTTTCACATCGATGACTATTTTAAAATTAAAATTATTTTACTGATACGGCCTAATTTGTCTATTAATGATTTTCCTTGTGCCGCTCTCCTCCCCGTTCTTGAGCGTTCCTAGTCCTAGCCAAGTTCTGGTCTTCGCTCATGAGTCCTCCCTGCCGCGCCCTGCCTGGGGTGTCTGGGGCCACAGAACATCAGGCAGTGGGAGAAGGTGTACCTCAAGTAACCTCGGCAGGGCCCCCGAGTCTCTCCTCGAGGCGGGGTCCAGTCTGACCTCTGGAGGTGAGCTCTCTACCTTAGTTATGATCCTTCTGGGGGCCTATGTGAGGTGTCACCCCAGAATCCCAGGTCCTACGAATCAGAGACCTGAGCCAGACCTGTTTGACGTTTGGGGCCCGGTGGATACTGCCTGGAGCTTGGGCTGTAGGGTGGCACTGCCCCCTAGCGTCTAATGGTTCCAATTCCTCCCCTGCTGCCCGCCCCCAGGGACCACAGCCACACGCCAGGTTGTTCAGAAAATCTGTTCCGAGCCAGCGGGTTGCAGCCAGAGCTACTGACAAGTCCAGAGACGTTGCCTTGGGTTCGAGTGCGCCCAAGGCTGTTGCTTAGTCAGCTTCCAGAGCTTCCCATCACTGCCGGGAGCTACCAGAGCGCCCGGCACCCCCACCTCCCTCCCAGGCCCCCAGGGCCTGACCCTGATATCCCGGGCAAGGTGCTGGGGACAGAGCCAACACGTCATGATGTGCAGAGGCCCAAGTGGAGAGTCACATCTCGGTCTCGGCCAACAGACTGTCGCCTAGTCCTGAAGTCATGAGCACCATCTGAGAGCTGGATTCTGTGGAAGGGCAGAGGGCCGTTCAGACCACCATTCATTCCTCCACCAGGGACACAAGTGGGAGGCGGCCTGGGGTTCGCACACGCACCCTCCCTGGTCCCAAGCCTCTTCCGGACCTGGCTCTGCTCGGACCCGGGGGCTCTTACCACCGGGGCACATCCAGGACGGCTGGGCAGCAGGCCCCCGCCCTCTCTCGGGTTCCTGCGTGTCGCCGGCCCCTCCCGCCAACTCCTCCTCCTCCTCTCCCTCGGAGAGCAGATCACAGATCTGTTGCTGCAGCTCTGGGCTAATGCTGTTCTCAGCCAGCACCAGGCTCCGCAAGGCCGTGGGGTAGTTTTCTACCATGTCCAGCAGGGTCTGACGTGGGGAAGAAGGCGCAAAAGGACGAACACAGTTAAGGCTGCAACCTGCCAGCCCGTCGCCATGTCCACAGACACGTGGGCTCACCTGCACCCCCACCTCTAGCCCCCTTCCCCCCGCCCGCCAGCACAAAGACGTCTCACCTGAGCTGACTGGTTGGTAAGGCCCGTGCCCTCCAAGTCTAGGACCTCTAAGGTGCGGCTGGAGGCCACAGCTACAGCCAGCATCCCTGCCACGTGGTCACCTGGGCAGGTGGCACACGTGCACACGGTCACGGGCAGTCGTGAGCCGGCCTGCTCACCTTTCCTCCCCGCGGCCTCCCCCATGCCCTAAGGACCCTAGATGCCACCCTCGGGCCAGCAAATGCTGACACTTGGTAGGTGGCCGAGAGGGGGGGCACCGTGACTGGGGAGGGAACGGGTGAAGCAAGCCAGGCCCAGGGGTGGTGATGGATACTTTCAGGTACCTGGTGCTCGTCTGGTCCTCCACACAAGTGGCTTCTCCACTCCCTCCCACATCCCCCCTCCCTTCTCCCTCCCCCAGTGGGAGGGGGGTTACCATGGCAAACAATGGTCCCAAGTTCTTGGATGGGGGTGGGATGGTGAGACTCGCAGGGGGCTTCCTTGAGTCTCACCCAGGGGGTTGTAGTCCAGGTTGAGGACGCGGACCTGGGAGCTGTGGGCCACCGCAATCGCGAGGCGGCTCCAGCCCTTAGGGGTGATGCCAGGGTTGGCACTCAGCGTCAGCTCCTTCAAGCCTGGGCGGCATCAAAGTGACAAGCCAGGGTGGAGGTCAGGCCCCTTCAAGCCCCTCCCCTGCCCTGGATCTCTGGGGTGTCCCTGGTGGCTGAGAGCCACCCCGCCCCGCCACAGAGCTCCCGGGCCCTGAGAGACCCCTGCCTTCCCCTGCCCACCGCAGGCTGGATGCCTGAGTCTCCATTCTGCTCGGCCCCCAATCCTTCTGATAAGCATTCTCACCCACAGTCAGAGCCCTCAGCTCTGGGTCACACCCCCTGCCCTGTGCACCTAGCTTTTTATCAAGGCCACACCAGCCCGTGTCCTCAGCAGGGCCTCTTGCTCACCTGACTTGGCTCCATCTGGGGGGAGGAGGCCACAGATGAGATTGATGGCTTCATCACCCAGCATGCAGTCCCCCAGGTCCAGAGCCACAAGGGCAGGGTGGAGGGCCAGCGCCGGGTTCAGCAAGGCCAGCCCCGCATCTGTCAGGGGGCTCCCATGCAGGCTGGCGGGTGAGACGGGAGAGCAGAGGTTACTGCAGTCATCAGCCCTACCTGTAGGGGATGCAGCCCCTTCCTTTATGTGAGCCCTAGAGGTGAGAAGGGCACTTGTCACAGCACTTGGGAGAAGCCTTGGGAAGGGAGAAGCCTTGGGAAGGGAGAAAGAAAATTCTAGATTCCAAAAACACAGGTAGAAGGGGAATTTGGTTCCTTTTCTGGGGCAGGGATTGGGATCCGGGACAGAGCAAAGAGAACGGGTGTGTGGGTGGTGGATTGGGGACTCTTCAGGGGGCAGAATGCAGGGGCAGGGGTCTAGTCCCCAGGGGAGTTCCTGCTTGAGACCGGGGGAGCTGCCCCCAAGAAGTCAATGGCGGTGATTAGGTGGGGAGGTACAGGTGCCCTGCCAGAAAGGGGTGGGTACCCCATCTCATTTGGGGTGGGGCCGTTTGTGCAAAGTCCAGAGGTAAGCGTGTCATGGAGGCATGGGTAGAGGGAGGGGGCGGTGTCCAGAGGGGAGAAGACAGGCTGGTGCGGAGACAGCTACAGGAAGGTGTGCCGGGGGAACAGGCGGTGGCGGCGGGCGCGTGAAGAGGGCTGCAGTGCCCGGGACCCCCTTGCCAAGGAGCGCACTCACAAGAGGGACTGGATGGAGCGGTTGGTCCGCAGCGCCTCCGCCAGCTGCTTGATGCGGCCGGGACTGGACACGACGCCTAGGTTAAGGTTGAGCTGCGCCAGGGACGTGGCCCCGGCCAGGGCCCGGCAGATGCGGCCGAAGTCGCGGTCGCAGAGGCGGCAGCCGCGCAGTGAGAGCAGGCGCACGGCGTTGTCGCGCAGGCCACGGCAGATGTCCCGCACCTCGGCGCCGGACAGCGGCTCCCCCGAAATCTGGATGGAGCTGGGCAGCATCGTACCCACGGCTGGGCCTCCGGGGCCGGGGCGCGGGCCGCGGCCGAGGTTGGCGGGGCCGAGGGCGGGGTCGGGGCTGGGGCCGGGGCCTGGGCAGGGGTCGCGGACGGAGCGGGGGCAGAGGCGGTGGCAGAGGCGCGGGCGGCGGCGGCGGCGGCGGCGGCGGGGGCGGCGGCGGCGGCGGCGAAGAGCGTCGGGGCCCTGGCCGGAGCCGGCGGGGGTTGCGGAGGCGCCGAGGTCGCCGGCCGGGCTGAGACGGCGCGGCGCTGGGGCCGGGGCGGACCGTGCCGTCCGTGTCTGGGCGGGGGGCCGGGGCGCGCGGTCCGGGGCCAGGCGGGCGCTGTTTCCGCGCTTGTCCTCGTTCCTCGCTGTCGGGGCGGCGGCTGCGGGGCCTCGGCTCAGGACGTGCGGGACCGGTCTCGGCTCGGAGGCAGCATCTGCTCCCTCCCCTCCTCCAGCCCGGTCCCCTACCTCCCCGCAGGGAGAGCCCGAAACGGGCGGGCGGGCAGCGGGACAGCCGGCGGCGGGCGGCAGCTCCGGCTCGGGCTTCGGCTCCTGCGCCTGAGAGGGCGGTGGGTTCCCATGGCAACGGCCGCGTCACGCCGCTCGCCCCGCCCCCTGCCCGGCCTAGGCCACGCGGCTCGGGGGTCTGCGCACGGCCGGCGTTCGGAGCGGTGGGGGCCGCCCTTCCCCTGGGCGTGGGCCCACACGGTCCTCGGAAAGTAGGTAGTGGGTCGAGGCCGGGGACGAGCAGGGGGTGTGGCGGGGAGAATGGAGGCACGTCGCGTGGAGATGGCATTTGAGACTGTTCCCGGCTGCTTCGGCCCATTCTCCCGTCGTTCCCTCTTCCTGAGGGCCAGACCCTCGCTGTCTTCGCCTACGTCCCGCGCACGGCCTCCCGTCCGGCTTGGAGCCCCGTGATGCGGACCGCGGCGCGCGCGCGGGCGCGGGGCGTGGGGGGGGTCCCGCCCAGGAGGACGTCCCCGCGGGCCCCTCGCCAAGATGGCGGCCCCGCAGCGGAGGTGCCAGGGGCCACGGGGCGGAAGAACCCCGAGGCGTTCCTGGGGCAGGTGAGACGCAAGTAGGTGCAGGGTGCTGGTGCCACCCCGTCCCCAGGTGCCGGCGGCAGATGCCTCGGGGCTCTCAATGGGACACTGGGGTAGCCCCGTGAAGGGGGTGCTAGGATCAGCGACCTGCAGTGGTGGCGGCCGTTGTTAATGGGCCTGGAACTTTCAGGAAGGGTACACTGCACGGTTCAGGTAGTGCTGTTCGCCCTTCGTCCACTGGTGACACGGTGTGGGGTCCTCACATAACATCGGATCACCCAGGACAAATGAAGGGCACGTCTTTCTTAGGCCCTTTGCTAGGAGGAAAGATGCTGACCCAGATTTACGGGGATTAAAAAAAAACAACAAAACATAAGCGTAGTGAAGGGAGATCAAAAGTTCTATTTCATTAACCACCTGACTTCTTAAGTGGAGCAGAGTAAATGGATTTAAGAGTGAACAGCCCTCTTGGAGAGGAAGGACAGAGAAACTGATGACCGCTTTGTTCCTTTGGCCCCAGTATAACCAGGACACAGGCAAGTTTAGCTTCAAATGTGAGCTCCCACAGGAAGATTATCCCTGCGCAATGGCCCGGCCTTGTAACGGCATGGGGCTGAATCTGGGCGTTTTTGACCAATTGTCATTGCTCCGTTGGTGTCCCCAGAGCGAGGCTGAGCCCACTCAAGCTGGGTGCTCTCCTCCATCAGACTTATGGTTCCTGTGTTTGAGGCCTCCCCGCCACTCCGTGGGACGGGTGTCCCCTGCCCCCAGGGACAGGTTCCATACTCCGTCTCTGCTTTCAGTGTAGTCTGGGCTGTCCCACCTTCGTCCTGCCTGGATGAGGGTATCAAGAAGAGAACACGTGACATTACGGCCAGTGACAGGAGAACAGGAAAGTGTACAGGAAGTAAGGTGGCAAGGAGGACCACTGGAAGGGCAGCTGCAGTTCCAAACTTCAATCAGTATTTTAATTACCAAGTCTATATTTAGCAAGACAATGTGGGGGAGATAAAGAGGGAGGAAGGAGTAGGTGGAGAGAGGGCCTCAGAGGAGCTGAGCCACTTTCCGCACTGGCTGCAGAGCCCTGCAGTCCTGGCCAGAGGTTCAAGGGCTTGCGCCCTCCAGAAGGCCCACAGGCGACAAGGAGTTGTCTTAAGCGGCTATAGCTCAGAGGCAGCTGCAGACCCCATCGAAGAGACACACGGCCTCAGTACTGTTCTTTAATCTTCCTCTGCTCCGGAGATGGGGAAATGGGGGCCGGCCAAGGGTCTCAGGTGGGGTCAGTGTGACTGCAGGGTCACCGCGACAGCCTTGGCTGTGGCATTGAGCACGGCGGCAGAGAGCCTAGCAGCAGGGAGCGCAGCAGGGATGTCTCGGGGGACCCTCTGCATGGGCGGGATGTCGGGGCCCTCCAGCGTGTCCAGGATCCCTGAAAGCAAGAGGACGGGAGGTGAGCGACAGCTGGCCTGGCGCTGCCCTCCGAGGCTGCTTCCCTCCCCCACACCCAGGCCCTCCTGTCACTCACCCTCTACCACCTTGTGGTAGGCAAAGTGCAGATAGAGCAGGAAGAGCATGTGCAGGGCGGCCAGGGTGCCACAGAGCAGCAGCCGCTGTGTGGGGCCCACAGTCCGGGACACCAACACTGCCACCTAGGGCCACAGGAATACGACTCAGAGGGCCCAGCCCCAAAGGCAGCAGTGTGAAGACACTGCTGCCCAGAGCATTCAGAGCCCTCTGTGGGCTTCGGCCCAAGCCATGGGCTGTCTTCCTGAAGTCCCCAGGAGGTCAGCCCACCCCTGGCAACCCTCTTGCCCAGCTTACCATGCGGAGGGTAGACAGCCCACCCACCAGCAACCAGAAGAGGTAGAAGAGGGCATGGAGGTGGATGTTGTAGGTGATGAACAAGACAATGCAGTGCCCAAAGAGGCCATAGCCCTAGGAAACAGAAGGGCGGAGAGGAAAATCACTAAAATCACTCAGGCTGGGCTGGCCTTTGAGCTCTCATGAGGACCCTAAGAAAGAAATGATCCCCTGGCCAGCTCATCCCATTCCAGCCCCTGGGGCCCCAGGAGAGGTGCAGACCAAGGCCTAGCTCCTCTTTTTTTAAGATTACCCTTGCCCGCCACCATGCTGGACTCCTTCTTACCAGCAGTGCCAGCATCTGGAGCATGGTGATCTGGGCGTTGCACAGGTAGGCGAGGAAGTAAATGAAGGACGAGACGCCCAGCCAGTAGCCGAAGCAGGTGCCAATGGCTGTGCCCATCAGGGTGCCCTCTCGCTGTGGGGTGAACGCTCTGCTTAGTCCTGGGAGGCCTCTCAGCCTCCCCCAGGGCTTTCCTCAGGGGCCGCCTCTACCTCACTCCACCATCCTCTCCTGGGGCAGCTTTCGATTTAGTTCAGCCACCCCCAAAGTCCTTTGTCCTGCTTACGATAATGGTGTCAGATGTCTTCATCCCATGGAGGAGAATGGCAACCAGCGTGAAGACCAGCATGAGAGGTCCATAGAGTTCACCTGCGATTTTCTGTCAACATACCAACTCATTCAGGCTGGAGGGTACAATGGCTCTTCTGTTTAGGTCTTCCTAGGCTTCGCTTGGTGGCCCCACCCTCTGCCCTCATGCCTCCCCTGGTCTTCCAGACATGCTACCTTGGGTATTCACCTGGGGGAAGTTGACCATCTTGATCGGGATCATGGACTCCAGGAGCCTGGGAGAGGAGAGGAGAGATGAGAGCCAAGGCGGCACTAGGCTATGAGGTTCTGGAGGGCCTGAATCCTATTCATCTCTAACTCCAGAGAACATGCTGGATGGTAAAGGGAGAAGAGGGGGGTAAAGACAGACAAGGAATGAGGAGATCACTTCCCTGTCCCTAAAAATGCTTCCAGGAAGGACGACCTTCTGATACTGTGCTGACACGCACGGAGAACTCAGAAAGCCTGCCTGGAGCCTTGGGAGAGCACTTGACGATTTACCTATTTGACCTGCTCCCCTTTAAAAGACAGGCCAACCTCAGCAGAGAATGCCCAGAATTCAGGGCTGTGATGGTGAAGCCCTGGGAAAGGTCTTACTTGAGGGAACCAGTGTGTCTCCTGTCTCTTCCTGCTTACCACTCCTCAGAGCACCGCTGACCATTTTCTTGAAAAACAGCCTTGAAGTGGTATAAAAATTCCACACAGAAAGAATAAAAGGCTCCCATCTACCTTCACTCTCTGTCTTCCATGAGACAGAACCATTACGGTGCCCAGCACAGAACAAATGGTCAATAAATAGCTGCTAAGTGGTACTGGGTGTCTGATGAGCATTGCTTAAAGGATGAACAAAGAACCAAGCCAAAATCAGATCCACTTCTCGAAAAGTCATTCAACAACTAAGCACTGATATTCTGGTTTGGAGACTGTTCCGGTGCTGGGAATATAAAAAATAAAACAGAGCTTGTTTTTGAGGCGGTCTCTGGGGAACCAGCCCCAAGAATAAGAGAGTACAGCACTGCTGAGGTGTCATCTGTTAGAGGAAAGCAGAGAGTTCTCTAGGATCACCAGGAAAGGACAAACTGGGGATGGGGGTTGAGGAATGGGGAACAGAGAAGGTGACATTTGAGCTGCGTGTTGAGGGAACAAGAGTAGTCTGCTAGATAAAGAGGAGGAGGAAGGCAATGTGTTACCACCATGTCCTGTTCTGTGACTGGTAAGAGCGATGGTGTAGCTGGGAGACAGGTGCAATGATAAAGGGAGCCTCAGGGCTTGGTAGCTGGTTGTAGTTTGGACGAAGGACTAGGGCAGCTTCTATCAGGAGAAGGATTCTCACCTGCTTCGCACCTGGGCCGGCTCCACATCAAAGTAGGGTCTCAGGATGTCAATGTTGGCGTACAAGCTGAAGGCCCTGGAGGCTTGTCTCTTCCCTGCCTGCCACATCTGGAGGAAGGTAGGTACTGTGAGAGAGATTCTTGGCTACAGTCCCTGTTGCTCTTTTTTCTCTTGGCCTTCTACATAGTTCTATTGGGTTAGACGACGTGGGGTGAACTTCACCAACTCCAGCACTTGGGGCCTGCCTAGGTATACTTTCCCACCTACTATGGATTCAGTCTTGCTTACCTGATCCGCCACCTGCCGGCTCAGCTGTCCCTTAAAGCCCTTCATGCCCAGGAAATCCCCATCCTCTTCTTCAGCAGCGGCTGCATCAGCGTCTACTTCTTCCTCCCGCAGTCGCTGATGCAGCTCACCCATATCCTCGAAGCTGGAGCCTGAGGTATCATCCATGTTCTCCATGTCAATGACAGCTGAGCCCCCACCCTGTGAAGACAAATGGCTTCTAGAGTGCAGGATCTTTCTGCTCCATCCGTATGTCCTCCTGTATTCCTCCCAGCTTTTGAGACTTTCTTCTTCCACTGCCGGGGATATGGCTTGGAATCTGCATAGATCATGCCGCTCTCTTCTCACTTGTTCTCAGAACCCTTGGTTGTCTGGCTTTTTCCCCTTTTCTAGCCTAGGAAACCTAATCCCTGTCTTGCATATATATCTTTCTGCTACCTTCCCTATCAAATCCTCAGAGGGCCGCAAAAGTGCCCATTTCCTTTGTCTTTTCCATCCCCCAAATAAGGCTGTGCACACAGCATGGTTTTAGCCAGTGCCAGTGAATACCGCCCACTCCCTCGCCACGCCTGACCCCGATCAACAAACTTGTCTCGAAAGCAAGAGCAGGCGGGCCCAGAGACAGAGGCCCTCTGGCTGGAGTACCAGTCTGGACCTTTCAGGTCAGCGCTAGTCCCACAGCCTTTCGTGTACACCAAGATACAAAGGAGAGAACAAGTGTTGCAAATGGAGCAGACTTCCAAGCTCCCAGGGAGAGTCCCCACGACACTTCAGGACGGCTGCCAGCCCTGGGGCTGCTAGCAGCCGGAGCCTTGGGGGCGATTACCTGGATGTTTTCTTCGAACCCTCCCCATTCCGGGCCAGCCCGGCTTCGGGCGCCGCCGGCCGGCGCCGCCGTAGTTGCCATGTCCCTCGAAGGCTCCCGTCGCTGAAGCCCGCGCTAGTTCCCCACGCGGAGGAGGAGTGGGAGAGACGTGGGCCTGAGGGACGGAGATGTCTAGGGTCGAGAAAGAGAGGTGGGTTCAGCCGGAACGCAATAAGGAGAAACCCGGATGTTTGGCTAAAACTGACTTCCGGAAGCTGGGGACGTGGACGGAGGACGGACAGAGTCTCGCGATATTTAAGAATCTGGGAGGCGGTGCGTTGCCACGGAGACGGAAGAGGGCGGCTGGGACGCACGCGCCAGTTTTGCTGCCCCAGTCACGTGGAGGGGTTGAAGATGGCGGCAGCCCAGGCGGTGCAAGAAATGCGGACCCGCGTGGTTCTAGGGGAGTTCGGGGTTCGCAATGTAAGCCTGTGGCCTTGAGCTCGGGAAGAGAAAAGAGAGTGGAACAGGGATGAGTTGGGGCGGGCTTGTCCTACCTGCCCCTTCGCAGACAGACTCGTCTCTTTTTGCTCTAGGTTCATACCACCGACTTTCCCGGTAACTATTCGGGCTATGATGATGCCTGGGACCAAGACCGCTTCGAGAAGGTGGGTGGGGCTGGAGAGGGTATTAGGAACAGACCCTGTGATCTGAGCAGCTTGTGTCGTGGAAGCAGCCCTTGGGGTTCGCTCGGTTTATAAATCGTTTATTGAGCAACGTGTTAGGAGCTCCGTGTACACGGTTTTTGCTCTGTTCGGCGAACAAGCTGTTTAGTTTTGTTGAAGAGCGCGCATAAATGATTTCAGTATAATGTGGTAAAGGTGGTTCGTAGCGATAAGGACAATCAGGGGTGGGGTGATCCCGCAGACGCACTTAATCTAGAATGGAAAGCGGGGCAGCGGTCTGGAAGATCTACTTCCTGAAGAGGACATCTGAATTGAGCCCTGAACCATGAGTAAAATTTGAGAACAGGGGAGGAGGGAGGAGAAACTAAGACTTAGGAGCTAAATGATAAAGGCTTTGCAAACTGTGTTCTGGGAATGTCTTAGCAGTTTATTATTGCTAGAATGTAAAGTGCTAGCATGAGTGGTAGGCAAGATAGAAGTGCATCTTGAATACTGATAGGGAGCTTTTGAAGAGCTCTGAAGTAGATGTGATCTGATTTGCAGCCGTAATGGCTGGGAGAGAATGAATCAAAGATCAAATAGGGCAGTCAGATTTGTGACAGGATTGCATACAGGAGCGGAGGTTGAAGGCATGAACTAAGATTATAATCAGGAAAATAGAGCAAAGGGGAGATAGAAGGTAATTTGGTCATTGCTTTGATGGCGGCTGTGAGGAGGGAGTGTAAAATGACCTAGCTTGAGGAACTTCTTTAATGGATGGTGGTGCCATTTACTGATGAGAAATAGGTCTGGGGAAGGGGAATGATGCTGCACTAAGTTTCCTGCATGTGGAGAAATCTAGCAGGCTAGTAGAACGTGTGTTTGAAATGAGATCAGAAGTGAGATAAATTTGGAAGTTTTCAGTACATGTTGTTAAAACCATGAATGTGATTGAGGTCACTTTGGAGAGAGACAAAAATCTGGGAAATAGTGACGTTTATGGAGTGGGTAGAAGATAGTGAATTTAGGATTCAGGAAGAGGAAGAGAACCAGAAGATTAGTGCTCAGAAACCAAGGCAGACTTTGAACATGGAGGGATTCTATCAATGCCGAATGCAACAGAGGAGTCTAGTAAGATAAGGATTGAGTAGTGTCAACTAGATGAAGCAGTACGGAAGCCTGTTCTCTAGTGGAACAGTCTCTGGATGGTCTGGCTGGAGGCCATAACACAGAGGATTTTAAATGAATAGAGGATAAAAACAGGGAGACTTTTCAAGAAACTATTACAATAAAGGATTGGGAGAGAAAGGAACTTCTGTGAGGGACATCTGGCCAAGGGAGGTTCTTGGGTGAGAACACGTTGGGGGGGGGGGGGGAATATCCAGGGGGAGGGTACTGACTCCACAGAGAGAAAGCTTCATGTAGTGCATTTTCTGTCCCTGCAGAATTTCCGTGTGGATGTGGTGCACCTGGATGAAAACTCATTGGAGTTCGACATGGTGGGAATTGATGCAGCCATTGCCAATGCTTTTCGACGCATTTTATTAGCTGAGGTATTTATCGGTGGGCATAGTGGCAAGGGTGGAGTTGCATGGGAAATTGTGTCATCACCTCACTTGGAGAATTCTCAAGTTGCCCCTTTCCTTTGGTTTTCTTGCAGTTTTGCTGAGCATTCCTCCTGCTCATTCCTCATAAACTTTTCATCAAGGAAGAGGTCCCCCCATGTCAGGAAGTGGGAGTAAATGGGGAGTCTGTAGGGTCTCTGTAGCTGAATGATTCTGTTTTCTTGGGCAGGTGCCAACCATGGCTGTGGAAAAGGTCCTGGTGTACAACAACACATCCATTGTTCAGGATGAGATCCTTGCTCATCGCTTGGGGCTCATTCCCATTCATGCTGATCCCCGTCTTTTTGAGTATCGGAACCAAGGTCAGTGTTTGAGAAAATGAAATTGTGGCAAAATGGGAACAGCTCTCTTCCGAAGTTGATTCTAGAGTCATGCAGCCTCTGTTCAGATCCTGGATTGACTACTGTACGACTGTGAGCAAGTTCCTAATGTTTTGGTACATCAGTTGTTGGGATCTGTGTGAACACATGCCCTTGGCCTTCTGAAATTTGTCCAGAGGATTAAATGGTCAATGTAGAGCAATGCACGCAGTGTAGTGCCTGGCGCCCAAACATTCAGTCGTTCTTTAAGAGCTGCCACTTCCATCTTTTGTTCAGGAGATGAAGAAGGCACAGAGATAGATACCCTGCAGTTTCGGCTTCAGGTCAGGTGCACGCGGAACCCCCATGCTGCTAAAGACTCCTCCGACCCCAACGAACTCTATGTGAACCACAAAGGTGAGTAGTGGTAGGGTGAGCAAGAAAGCCCACCCCTTGCTGGGTGCTAGTTTTAAGGACTGAAGTTTTCCTGCTGTGCTTTCTCCAGTGTACACCAGGCACATGACATGGGTGCCCCTGGGGAATCAGGCAGACCTCTTCCCAGAGGGCACCATCAGACCAGTGCACGATGATATCCTCATTGCCCAACTGCGGCCTGGCCAGGAGATTGACCTGCTCATGCACTGTGTCAAGGGCATTGGTAAGAACCCTGTGGGCTGCCTGGGGCAGGAGGGTAGTGTGACTACACTAGGGCGAGGTGTGACTAAGGGGCTCAGCTGAGAGGTCCTGACAGGCAGAAAGCCAGTGGGCCTCTGCTCTTAGAGGCTTGTCTAACGTGAAGGTGTCCCCGCAGGCTCTGATTTCGGTCTTCCCTCCAGGCAAAGATCATGCCAAGTTTTCACCTGTGGCAACAGCCAGTTACAGGCTCCTGCCGGACATCACCCTGCTTGAGCCTGTGGAAGGGGAGGCAGCCGAGGAGCTGAGCCGGTGCTTCTCACCTGGGGTCATTGAAGTGCAAGAAGCCCAAGGTAGGACATCTGGGATGCCAGATGCATTCAGGTCAGGACCTAAAGTAGATTTCCTGTGAAGGCAGCAGAAAGAAAAGCTCGGGGCTCGTGTACTGAGAACATAGTTTGTCTTCATTAGGTAAAAAGGTGGCTAGAGTTGCCAATCCCCGGCTAGATACCTTCAGCAGGGAAGTGTTCCGGAACGAGAAGCTGAAGAAGCTTGTACGACTTGCTCGGGTTCGCGACCACTACATCTGTGAGTATCGGGTTGGGGGCGGCGCGGGGGTGCGCAGGCGGGTGGGTGGTGCCACAGCTCCCGTGGAGTCCCAGTCGGAAGCAGGCAGGGACGTAGCCTGGGAGCCGGTGCGGGCCCACGTAGGCTCAGGGGTCCCTCTGCTTGCCAGTCTCTGTCGAGTCAACAGGGGTGCTGCCGGCAGCCGTGCTGGTGAGCGAAGCCATCAAGGTACTGATGGGCAAGTGCCGGCGCTTCTTGGATGAACTGGATGCAGTTCAGATGGACTGAGGTTTGCACCGGACTTCTCGGCACGGCTGCGCTGCTCCTGAGCCAAGCTGAAGATTTCGGGGCCGGACCTGCCCTCACAGGACTGCCCCAGAGTCCGGTGTGACTGGAGGTCCTGGGTTTTCTGGGACAATTCTAGCCTTATTTTCAGTCAATACGTTTTGTTGAATGTGCCACAAAATGTCACCTTGTGCCTTCGTAAGGCCTTCATGTAAATAAATTCACATCCAAAATAAAACTCCTTTTGTCAGAGACTACTTCCTGGGTTTTAGCCCCAAAAATATGGGGCCTCCCCTCAGAAGAGGTTTGGCATTATTTAGCCCTTGGGAACACTGGCTTCAGGTGTCACTGCAGGTCAGGGCCAAGTCCGTCTGAAGCCTTAAGAGAAATGCCAAATCGAGGTGGTTTCTGGGGGCTCAGCTGGACCACAGAAAACTACTGTGTGCCACTTACCATTTCCTGGATCATCAGAGGGAGTGTCTGAGGAAAAAGGATGGTCCGCAGCCACCAAGTCACCCTGCTATCAAGTGTCACACAAGGGTGGGTGCCTGGCTGGCTCAGTCAGTAGAGCAGGTGACGCTTACCTCAAGATTGTAAAATTCAAGCCCCACCTTGGGTGTAGAGATTACTTAAAAATAAGATCTTAAAAAAAAAAAAATCCCACAAGGAACAGCAGCATTTCCCTTTGGACAGTCCCTCCGAGTCCAGCCCAGTGGCCACAGAGGACGCTGGGAGAGTGGTATGGGCGGCCTGGTCTAGGTCTGTCGGGAATAGAAATCTTTTTCTGGCTGGCATACTGTTTGAGAAAGCTGGTCCATCAGTCACAGCTCTTCCTGTCCAGTCCCCTTGGCAGGATATGCTCATGAGCAGTGACACTAGAGGTCACTGGTTTGAAAAAGGCAGATGGGGCCCTTTCTGTATGAAACAGATCTTTACTGACATGCAGATGTGCTTTAGAGTTAATGTTTCTACAAAAAGTTCTATAAACAATAGAAAACCTCTAGCATGAAGTCACAGGATGTTAAAAATCTTACAGCACAATAAATACAACTATGCCCTCCACAGCCCCAACCAGAGAGGAGTAGGCAGCCATCGGGTTTGCAGGGAGACCTACTTGGAGACGGCCTTCACAGTGGACAGGAAGCGGCCCAAAGCACCGCTCAGGAAGAGGGCATGGGGCAAATCTGTGCCACAGAAACCGCTCCACAGGACCCCAAGTCCCGTTTCCGCAGGCTCACCTCTCTCCAACCCTGCCCGGGTGCCACCAGCTCACAGCTGTAGCTTGCGCCCAGGCTGTTCTGCTCAGTACCCCCCAGAAACCCTCGTGTCAATGGGCTGCATGGATGACAGGCCTCCTCCTACAGAACGCAGACGCTCTAATCTGGTTTCCGTACAGAGGAAGGCTGTCTATGGCCAGCAGGGACTCCAGGCTAGGGTCCTGCATTCATGTCCCCTCTGCCTACAGGGCCATCCAGTGACCTCTAGAACAGAGTGAAGCCTCACAATACAGGTTGTGACAGGAAGGCATATGTTCTTTTCTTTTGGAAATGGTCCATGAGAGTGACCAGGGACCTGAAAGACCATGAGATTTTTGAAGGCACCTGGACCCAACTAGTCCGAGAAGAGACCAGTGGCTTTGCTAGCTGCTCATCACAGACAGAGCCTAGCTGGTCTACGTTATCCTCCGATGCCAACGGCATCACGTGACACTAGATAGGGTACCGTGGCTCTTATGCCTGAGTGGATCCTGGGGCTGGGGAAACCGCGCTGAGGGACTGCATGGAATGCGTGGGAATACGTGTGAACTCTAAGGGGATGTCAGAAAGCACTCCAGATCCTGGCCCTGCTGTGGTCCCTGATGGTACTACACTTGACACTGCGTCCAGAGCTTGGCGGCAGCCTGTAGCGGGGATCCCATCAGGTGACCAGATTCTTGCTCAAAACAAAGAGAGGGAACTGGCCACATTCAGTTCAGCACTCAGCACCTGACCCAGACATGCCCCTGGGGGACGGGGAAGGTTCTCTGCCAGCCCAGCAGTAAGGGGGCTCAGTGGGACTTGCAGCGGCCCAGGAGGAACTCTCTGGCGCAAGCAGTGCGGACCGAGCCCCTGTGCAAGCCTGGCTAGTCGCAGCGTTGGGTGTTAGCACCCCGAGTTACCGCTCTACACGGGTGTATGGCTACATGGGGGCTGGAGGGCTTGGGGAGTAGGGCCAGTCTGCTCTAGCTTTTCTTTCTTGGAAAAGTTGAAACTCCAAGTAGAAGGGGAGATAGCTGGGAGATCCAGACGGAATGGTGTGAGCATGAACTCCCTTTCTTGATACCTCAGGTATTGTTACTTCTGCCCTGCACTGGGCCCCCTCTCTCCAGCTCCAGACCTGGATCTCTCTCCAGGCTGACAGTGGTGCAAAGTGAGGTGGCAGTGGAGAGGGGCCTAGAGATTAGCTACGAAGGGGAAGAAGAGATGACAATAAAGGCCGAGGAAGAATGCCCAAAAGTTTGATTCAGGGTTCAAAGATGGTGGCCAGGCCACCCTCCTCGTTGTCCAGCACCTCCGTCTCCAGCATTGGCTTCGTTTTTTTGAAAAGTGAGGGAAGATTCTTAATGTGAACTTCTTTTCGGAACTGCTCTCCCAAGGGTTTCTGTGGAAAACAAGTAAGAATTGATGCTGGGCCCGGAGTAGCGGGTTGTTTGAAAGATCATGACTGGGACACCTGGGTGGCTCAGTCGGTTCAGCATCTGCCTTCGGCTCAGGTCATGATCCCAGGGTCCTGGGATCGAGTCCCACACATTGGGCTCCTTGCTCAACGGGGAGCCTGCTTCTCCCTCTCCCTCTGCCTGTGCTCTCTCTCTCTCTCTCTGACAAATAAATAAATAAAATCTATTAAAAAAAATTAAAAGAAAGAGCATGACTCCAGCTGGTCTCTGGTCTGCACAGACACATGGTCTAAGAAGACCACAAGGGTGGGTCCAGCCGGTTGGGAGCACTAGCGGAGGCATTACGGGAGGCGCGTGACCTACCCCGATGCAGCCAGCAATGAGGCGTTTGAATTGGTCCTTCCGGCGCTTGTCAGCCACTTTCTGCAGAGAGGGGTTCAACAGCTTGCAGTCAAACTGGTCCAGAGAGTCCTTCTGTATGTCCGGGATCTGTTCCATCACAGCTCTGATCTCCAGGTACCTGGGACGCTGTGGAGTGGGGGTCTATAAAACTACGCCATGGCGCAGGCGGGGCCCTGCCGCCTTTCCCATCCCCCGCCACACCCATGTCCCCAGGCGGCACCAGCTGCCGACTTTTATGACAGCCCCACTGCCCAGGAGCAGGCCCCGAGGGCCGAAGCTGCAGCGCACCCGGCCTCCCTGCTGTCTGACTCACCAGTGCCTCGTAGATCTGGAAGGCCAGGTGCACCAGGGAAGCCATGCAGCCATCGTGCTGCCCGTGCGTCTGTAAGCCCTTCAACACGCTGGTGAAAAGCCACGTGACAGCATCTGCGAGCAGTGTCCCTGACAGCACCTGGGGACACAGCTGTGCTCAGGGCCAAAGAGGTACCCTCAGAGAGCCCCAGCAACCCAATTCTTCCAACCGAATGAATCCTCATGGCCCCAGCCTCTCGTAAGGGGTGAGGAGAAGGGGTGATTAACCATACTTGTTTGAGCAGAGGCCAGCAGAGCTGGGTGGTCGTCCTCTGGCAGGACAGAGTATCCTTCCAGGCAAGGGAATTGAAGGCTGTAATTAATAGCGCCGTACAAACATCCTAGCGGGAAAGGATGAAGGATTACAATGAGAAAATGAACACAATTTTCTGAGTAGGCCTATGCACGAGGAGCTAGAGTTTTCATAGGTAAACAGGAACGTGATAAAAGCAGCTACTGAAGACAAGCTTATTCCCTGTGTATCAGGCAGTCAAAAAGAAGAAAAAACAATCCATACAGAAGAGAAAACCTATGTGTAAGGAGACCAAGCTCAGGCCGGGGGGGGGGTGGGGGGGGCGCGCTGAACACCATAACATGCCCGTGTGTTTTTCTGAAAGCCTTTGCCCATGCCGGCATGGGAGACACCTTGACCTTTCCCACTGTTTTCTGGGGGCTTTAGGAACCAGGAACTTAACCCATATAAAGTGGCATTACCCAAAAGAATTCTTTGATGGCATCACAGGCTGAGAAAAGTGGAAGCTGGCGCCATACCCGGAAAGCAGAAAAACCTCCCCTGCCCCCTCTACCCACCTCATGCTTCATTAGACATTTGCCCAGGTCTGTAAGCTCCGTCATGGTGGAGGGGGCGACCTCTGTGGCCATCATCTCTTCATCTGTAAGCAGAGAGCAGAATGTTAAGCTCCATCCTTTCGGAACAGAGAAGAGCAGGCCACCACGTAAGGGAAAGCTGAGTACCCCAGGTTGACTTGGAGCAGTCCTGAGACAGCCCCCCAGCTGCCTGAGAGGCGCAGAAGCCCCTGCCCATGGCAGGTCTAGAGATGCACCTGGCTGAAGTTTGAAAAATAGCGGGAAACAGGAGATTCTCTGAACAGTTACTCAAAAAGCTGCAAACATTGAGGATCTTTTGTGGTTGAAGTATTTGAAGACCCCACTGTAGCAGGCACTGACTTAGTTCCTGGGGATGTAACAGGAATAGGATGAAGTCCCTTCCCTGATGGGAGTTTACATCCTAGTTAGGGAAACAGGGAATACATGAAGTAAAACAATGTCAGGCAGTGTTAAGTGCTATGAAGAAAAACAGAGCAAAGGTGGAACACAGAGTGGCTGGCTGGGGTGGCTAGTTTTTCTAAGTTGGTCATGGAAGACCTTTCAGAGGTGACATGTGGATGAGGCAAGGGGACAGGCCATGGATACAGCTGGGAGAAGAGTTATTCTAGCGGAGGAAACAGCAAGGGCAAAGGCAGTCCGGTGGGAGTATGCTGGAGGAATACAGCAAGAGGGCCAGCAGAGAGAGAAACCATGTGGAAATCTCCCCTAGCGCAGACTGCTGGGGAAACCATTTCTACACGAGCTGACCTGGATACAGAAGGGACAGTATTTCGGAGTCTAACGGCAGACCTCGGGAGGGCCACACAGCAGGCTCACTTACCATCTCCATCTGTAGGGGGTGCAGTACCATGGTCAGCGCTTCTCTTTGAAACACAGCACACGGCTAAAGCAAGAAAGTGGGGTTACTGGGCTTACTGCCACCAGGTAACAGCCACCTCTGGCCAACAAATCCCAAACGGTCTTCAGGGCAGATGAAGATGGGGGAAAGTGGGGCACTGTCCAGGCACAAAATCACCTTCATCAGCAGAAATAAAGGTTTGACCAGACTGCTCTGGTCCCCTTTAAGTTCAATTAACTAGAGGGAAATGACAGAATTTTCTGAGAGTAGGTGACCAGGAGAGAATGGCTGATATGGATTTGGTCTGCTATGGATCGCAAACAAATGAAATGACCGAAAAAGAAAAAAGAAAATTAGCCACCTTCATGCCCAAGTTTTAAAAATTTTCCTTATTTGGGGGCGCCTGGGTGGCTTAGTCGTTAAGCGTCTGCCTGGCTCAGGTCATGACCCCTGGGTCCTGGGATCGAGCCCCGCATCGGACTCCCTGCTCGGCGGGAAGCCTGCTTCTCCCTCTCCCACTCCCCCTGCTTGTGTTCCCTCTCTCTCTGTGTCTCTGTCAAATAAATAAATAAAATCTTTAAAAAAAAAAAAATTTCCCCCCTATATTTTGACAAAACTAGGAAGTTACTCCTACCATTAATCCAAATTTCTCCTGCTATTTTAGACCATTCCCGCATATTCTGGTCTTACAAACACAATACAGTTTACAATTCATAGAATGTCCTTAAGTTGATTTAAGGACTACCTGGGCTTCTACCTAGTTAATTATTTCTTTTTTTTTTTTTTTTTTTAAGATTTTATTTATTTGACAGAGAAAGACACAGCGAGAGAGGGAACACAAACAGGGAGTGGGAGAGGGAGAAGCAGACTCCCTGCCGAGCAGGGAGCCCGATGCGGGACTCGATCCAGGGACTCCAGGATCATGACCTGAGCCGAAGGCAGTCGCTTAACCAACTGAGCCACCCAGGCGCCCTAGTTAATTATTTCTTAATCGATCTGTCAGTAATGCTGTAAACATGCCTTAATGGGATTGGGTGAGTAACCAATTCTTTTTCCAGAAAAAGTCTTCCCTACTACCCCTACGTCCCACATGCCACTTACTGATTAGGTCCATGACTTCTCGGGTTAACATCCTCACCAGTTGTTCTTCTAACATCTCTTGAGACTCTGGGTTGTCATCTGTGGTGTCATCTTCCCCACTGCAGGAAAGGAGGGGGCCAAGTTCCACGGGAGTGCAAAAGAGGGAAGGACAAGGAAAACAGTGACCCTAACCAGACCCTCTGTGCTCACTTCCTTCTCCTGGCTTCCTTTGGTCTACATTCCACACAAATGCTGGGAATGGGACAACAATGATCCACTGAGGCAGACATTATTACTTGACTGTATCCAGTTGGCTAGAGGTACTGGATCAAAATCCAAAGTGGGTAAGGATGTCTCAGCACCCTCCTCAGGCAGCTGAAGATCCCTCCTATAAAGGCCTGACCGGAGTATGCCTAACGGTCACAGACAAGCAGGCTCCCATCTAGGCTGAGAACGGCCATAACCTGCTGCTTTCTAGCCCTGAACGGCAGCGTTTTCCACCAAGAGATGAGACGCTCCTTACCACAGCAGGCTCCTCTGGTTGATGACTTGCCATTTCTGGGAAAGCCTCTGGGAAAACAAAAGGGAAATAATGCTGATAGTGGGGAGGAGGTTGAAACAGATAATATCTAAGGTCCACTTCATGATTAGAATGAGCCGAGGAGGATTCTAGGTCTCAATGACAGAGCCCTGGGAAGCCCCACAAGGTTAAACCAGCAGATGTGGTTTCTAGAACCTCTCCCATGCCCATGACGAGGACAGGGTATCCTATGCTTGGAAAGAATCAAAGATACTCTAGAATTCCCAGGTCTCTCTGGACACTGTTCTCCACCTAGCTGGTCCTTTTGCTTAATCCCACAGTCGGGGAAAGAGACCCAGGGAAGGCACTCCCCTGACCACCTCTCCTCAGTTAACTGGAGGTCAGGAGCAGAACTGGAGTCTGCAGGTCTTCATGGGCAACTGAACCAGTTTAGTTCTTGGGAGGTGCTCAATCCGCTGCAGCAAGCAAAGCCTGCTGTGTTGGGACCGCTGCACGGACCTCTGAACAGGGCCAGGAGACAACACTTTCAGGAACTCCTGACTTGCAAGACTCATGAGAGGCCAACCTGCCTGAGGGTCCTCTTTGCTCCCTTTTCTGACCAATCTCTTACCATGTGGAGGTAGGTGAAAAGAGGTCCAAGGATTGGAGACACCAGGGCTTCGTAGTGCTCCGGGGGACAGAAGAGCACCAGAGGCTTCACAAAGACCCATGGGGCGGTGGGTTAAGAAGTTTTAGCACATGAGCACAGACCCCTCTCATTCTAAGGCACCCCTCTCCTGCCACGTAGCAGGATATGTCCATGGGCAGAGTCAACCCCCAAAGGACCTGCAAGATGCCAAGGACATTCTATGTTAATAGACAAAAATCCGGGGCTCCTGGGTGGCTCAGTCGGTGAAGCATCTGCCTTCGGCTCAGGTCATGATCCCAGGGTCCTGGGATCGAGTCCCGCATCGGGCTCCCTGCTCAGCAGGGAGTCTGCTTCTCCCTCTCACTCTGCCCCTCCCCACCACTTGTGCTCTCTCTTTCTCTAATAAATCAATAAAATCTTAAAAACAAAAACAAAAATCTTCAATCTCTTTTCCAAAACCCCGGGCTGCTCAGGAATGGCTACTAGGCTGCACATTACAGACACTTATTTGCCCAGAAGGAAAAAAAGAGGAGGAACGCTCTCCTTTGCTAGTCTCCTTATAACTTCAGGGAAGAAAGATACTCTCAAAAACATTTAAAGAAAGAAAAAAAAAAGAGTCCAAATGAGAATGAAGTATGAGAGGAAGCACCCAACAGGATGTAGAAGAGATTAAAAAACCAAAAAAACCTTTATCTTTCCTATTTCCAAGAAGTGGGATGATCAAGATTTACCCCTAAGGAAAACACTTTCCAGCCCCGCTGGCCTGCCTTCCTGTTTTTCCTGCATTTCCGCCAATCTTCTCGTCCACTTCCTGTGGTTATCACACAGTTGGATAAATGATCCCATCTATTCCACCTGCTCAGCTCTGTCTCCTCTGGTGCCTGAAAGCTGCTCCTGTCTGCAACCCTCCGGCCCTCTGGGTTTTGGGTTATCTAGGGACTTTGGAAAGGATATGAAGCATGGGTCTGAGTCGGTAGTCAGGAATATTGTTCAAGTTGACAAAGGCCGAGCTGAGGAGCTGAGTAGCAAGGTGCTCCACAGTGTAGAAGTCCTGCTGCATGGAAGGACCCGCCTTCCCGAGAATATGGAAACTGTAAGGGAAAATCACGGCCAGTGACAAACCTCACCTTTGTCCCTGCCAGCCCCGAATGCCCCAGGAATTTCTAGCCTATGCTAAGACTTCTCAGCTATAAAAGCAATTGCATTTGGTTCGTAAGAGACCTTCAGCTCAATCAGTAACGCACCCCTCACCCGCCTTTAAGGGAACTTGATAGTAGATTTAGCATGTTTTTAAAGAGAGATGTTGGCACCCAAGATCAACAGTAGCCTTCATTACTTCATAAGCAATATGGATTTACAACACAGTCTCTTTTGGTTAGCCTGGCTGACCGGAGCACTGGGTGAGTGAGGACAATGTCTGGGGTGTGGTGTGCTATGGGAGGGCCGGTTACCTCCCCATCCTACAACCAGGACCCAAAGACAAAGTCTGGCTAGCGGCCTTCAGAGTCCTATTCAAAGTAGCTGAGTAGTGAGGGCTCTGAGAAAATGCAGCCTCACTCACTGGATCTTACACTGTGGTCTCAGCATTTTATGCACCGGAAGCAGACAAGTTAGGCATAAAATCTCAAGTCATGGCTAGGGCGGAGACACATATGACAATTATAAAAAAGCAAATGCAAGAAAGCCAGCCAATTCATTTCGGTGTGATACTAGGATCATTGGCTTCCTGTCAAATTTTGGCCTCATCTTACCTGTACACTAGACTTCTACATCAGAAGTCCTATCCATGGCATTCCTATACTATGCGTGCCTAAAAAGAGATTAGAGAGAAACAGCATTGGTTTCTTACCAGTTTTCATAGAGGGTGCAGAAGAAACGCTGCATTCTTTCCAAGACCGTTTTGTAGACAGGAGAGTCATTCAGTTCCAAGAGAGGTTGAGGTAAGCCTAGAGAGAGAGATGGGTCGGGAACATGCTCTTCTGCTGCCAAGGGTCTTAACCTGCCAACACCCTACGGCAGGCAGGTGAGTTTTGGGGGTGGGGGTGACAACTGCCGTAAATGCGAAGCAGCTGGCCATGTCTTCTACCAGATGGAGGTGCTAAGAGCCCCCCTTGAGGTGACCGCTACAACAGTGTTTTGGTAGGGAAAGGGTGAAGCTATTTCAGTACGCAGGACTTCAGGCCAGACCTGGGCGCTCCAACTTTTTGCCTGGGTTTCTTCAGATGGTACTTGTACCAAAACACACGGTGACAGCTCAAAATGCTCTCTCCATAAAGCACCAGGGATGCCCCCCTCCCTTTTTAAGTTGGGGAACCTCTTTTTCAAGCAACATTTTATGCAAAAGCCCAATACGTAAAACAGATCATAATGAAACCCACTAATCACAGTATGACAGAGATCTGTAAGATCCAAAAGATCTATTTCAAGTCTTGCTCATGGCTGGAAGCTGACAGAGGGAACTGTTTGTCCATTCTAGTATGTTTTGGGCGAACATCTATTTCTATGGCAGGAATTCCTGGTTTAATTTGAATAACTGAATGGCAGGGTAGGGGAGCGGGAATGGGTGGTGAAGCAACAGCTATTTTTTATAGTAATTGCAAGACATTTCTTGGAAGTTCTATTTTTATTATTTTCTGTAACCTTTAGTGCACTGATGCCAAAAGGAAAAGGCCCAGGACCGTGCAGGCCGAGTCAGACAGACACGAGCTCCAGCAAGGCCAACTGACACCCTTCTTTTCAGGAATGTCACAGCCGAGGAATGCTCACTGGCCTGCTTACTCACAGCCAGGCCCAGGCAGAGGTTATGGCTGGGAACGAAGAGATACTGTGGAGGCTGTGATAGTGAGCCAGCACAAAGCTCCAGAGATGCGTATAGGGTTTAGGCAACTCTGGACGTCTCTGGCTTTAACTTCTGACCACTGCCTCGCTCTGTGTGTTCCAGCCGTGTGGGACATCCCCCTCTATTCCCTGGATACACCTCTTTCCTGCATGCCGCAGCATCTTGTACCTGCCTTTCTGTCTGCCCAGAAGGCTCAACATCTTCTCTTGCCCCCAACCTGATGAGCTCCTTCCTACTTATCCTTCAAGTCTCTACTAGGAGGCAGTCCTCTGACTCCTCTCCAACATGGGTGATGTTTCCCAATAAACACATGGCCACTTTCCTTCCCAGCACATATCACAGGATTGCATAATTATTTGCTAATGGGAAAAATGAGTTAAAGCAGCATTCGAATCAAGGTAACAACTGGGAAACATGGTTTAGAATCTATTCCTTTAAGATTTTTGATTATATACATATAATATATTGCTAATTAAAGATATTTGAGCTTAACTACTTTTAAGATTTATTTATTTGGCAGAGACACAGCGAGAGAGGGAACACAAGCAGGGAGAGTGGGAGAGGGAGAAGCAGGCTCCCCGTGGAGCAAGGAGCCCAATGTGGGAGTCAATCCCAGGACCCTGGGATCATGACTTGAGCCAAAGGCAAACGCTTAACAACTGAGCCACCCAGGCGCTCCAAGATTTATTTATTTAAGAGCTTAACTGACTTACCACTTTTTTTTTCATATGTGAAAGCAGGAAAAGTCTGCTAATATCCTTCAGGTCAAAAAGACCATCGTTTATTTATCATCTAAAGGCTCTGACACACCCCTCTACCTGGAAGGGTTAACAGTGCAGAGGGGGGTGGCAGAGGGGAACAACTGCCTTGGAAGACCCAAGATAATGAAGTCAATGCACTTGTTCCTAGAGACTCTGTAGGAGCTCCACACAGAAACAGGCAGTTGAGGTGGTGCCAGGCGAGGAGGAGGTGACGGGTGACATGGGTACCCCAACGCTGTTGCGGGAGTCCATTAGAGCTAAGGTAAACTTCAAGGAAAGAAAAGAAGGTTAGATTTCTTACCTAAAATTGCAGATTTCTCCGCTTCAAGCATATCCAGAGCCTTTGTGAAAGGCTCTGCCATCTTGGCCAGCATTTCTGATGCATATAAAGTATTGTGAGTTCTGCAAGAAACAAGGATGCTATGTGAACTTTTCCTAGTCAGCTGCAGAAGGAAAGAATGGGTTTCATCCCATAATTCAGTGATACTACACATCCACATAGATGGATCTCCTGGCCAACACTACTCCCCACAGGGTAAAGAAAATAAGATACAAATACTTAAATGTTTCCCTGGAAATGGGAATAGACTATTTGGCTGTATAGTATTCAACACCTAAAAGCATCAAGATGAGAAGCAAATCCTGAGACAGCTGGATGATAGCACAATCTAAAGCCAGAAATGGAAATTCTTTTTTTTTTTTAAAGACTTTTTTAAAATTTAATTTTTTAAAAGATTTTATTTATTTGACACAGAGAGAGCGAGTGAGAGAGCAAGCGAGAGAGAGAGAGCGTGCACAGCAGGGGGAGCAGCAGAGGCAGAGGGAGAAGCAGGCTCCCCGATGAGCAGGGAGCCCGACTCAGGACTCGATCCCAGGACCCTGGTATCATGACCTGAGCTGAAGGCAGATGCTTAATGACTGAGCAACCCAGGCACCCCAAGACTTACTTAAAGAGAGGGAGAGAGAGCCTGTATATGCCACGCATGCGAGTGGGGCAAGGGGCAGAGAGAGATGGAGAGAGAGAATCCCAAGGCGACTCCAAAAGCCCAGGGCAGAGCCCAATGCAGGGCTCGATCCCACGACCCTGAGGATCATGACCTGAGGGGAAACCAAGAATCAGATGCCCAAACAACTGAGCAACCCAGGCACCCCAAAAGGGAAATCCTCTTAAATGTGAGACAATGCCTGGGCACTCCCAGTTTGCAGATTGCTGGTGAGAAAGGAGGAAATGTCAGAGGCTCTGTGCTTTCACAGGTGGGGGAACACAGCGGGTAATGAAATGCCCTCACTTTCAGATGTCTGGTATTCATTCTAAGAGCCTGGACCCTACAATGCTCTGACAGTTGCTTCTGCCTCCTGGAAGAAGAGTCACAGTTCCCAACAGAAGACCAAAATGCCTTACCTGAGCAGTCCCTGGCTGTGTAGAACTAAGGAGCAATGACTACGGACCTGAGCTACCTGCCATCCACAGCTATCAGCCCCTCCTCCTGCCCACAGCAATGGCACCACCAACAATCTACAGCCAGAGAGTGTAACTACCTATTTTTCGTTTAAAAGTTAATTATAAAACATTTCAAACATAGGGAAAGTTACAAAAAAATAAAAATTGTACAAAATACAAAAGTTACAAAAAAGACACCAGCAGGGTTAAATATTTAAGATGCACACCGAACAGATCATTTCAGACCATGCTTATTTAAATTAAAAAACACTCAACACTTTTTTTTTTTAAATCTAACCATGTACAATCAGTACAATCATTTCAACTTTTAGAATGCCACTTAATTAATTCTAGTTAATCTCCCCACCTCCCTGAGGGCTAGTAAGTTCGTTCCCTCTTCTAGGAATGAGCTTTTCTGCAGAGTTCTTGTGTACACGTGTGAGTTTCTCTATGGTGGACAGAAACACGTAGAATTGCTGGATACTTGTGCTTTGCAACTCATGTGCTGCACAAGTCTTCTAGTCTGTGGCCTGACTTGCTTATACTAATATTTCCAATAGGCTTTGTGCCCCGTTTTTTCCATTGTGGTAAAATACATATAACATAAAATTTCTCACTTTTAAGTGTACAGTTCAGTGGTACTAAATACACTCAGACTGTTGTGCAACCATCACCACTATCCATCCCCTATTTTTTGTCTTATAAAACTGCAACTCTCTACCTGTTAAACAGTAGCATCCCATTCCTCCCTCCCCCAGATCCTGGCAAGCACCATTTTACCTTCTGACTTTAGGATTGTGACCATATTCAGCATCTTGTGTAAGTAAAACCCTACAGGATTTGTCCTTCTGTGACTGGCTTATTATCATTTAGCACACTGTCCTCAAGGTTCATCCATGTTGTGGCATACTGAAGAACTGTCTTCCTTTTAAAGGCTGAAAGATATTCTACTGTATGTAAATATCACATTCATCCATCAATGGACACTTGGGTTGCTTCCACTTTTTTTTTTTTAAGGTTTTTAAGCAATCTCCATGCCCAATGTGGGGCTCAAACTCACAATCCTGAGATCAAGAGGCCCATGCTCCTCCGACTGAACCAGCCAGGCACCCCTGCTTCCACGTTTTAGCTAGTATGAATGATGCTATGAACTTGAGTGTATAAATAACTCTTGAGACCCTGCTTTCAATTCTTTTGAGAACCCAGAACTGGAATTGCTGGATCATATGATATTTTTATTTTTTTGAGGAACTATCCAACTGTTCTTTGCAGCAGCTGTCCCATTTTATATTCCCACAACAGTGCACTCCCACAATTCTTCTTAGTGTCTGCTTGATAGTGACCCGCATACTCCTTAGGCTGTTACCTTCTCTTCAGTCTTTTTTTTCTGTTCGTCAGCCTCATTAATTTCCATTGTCCTATCTTGACTTTAAAAAAAATTATTTATTTTTAGTAATCTCTACACCCAATGGGGGGGCTTGAACTCACAACTCCAAGATCAAGAGTCACATGCTCCTCTGACTGAGGCAGCCAGGAACTAACTTTCTTCTGCTCTGGAAATCTGCCTTTGAATCCCTCTAGTGAATTTTCATTTCAGTTATTGTACTTTTTCAGCTCCAGAATTTCTTTTTGGTTTCCTGTTAGGTTTTCTATTCCTTTTATAGATATTTCCATTTTGTTCACATTGTTTTCTTGACTTTCTCCACATCTTCTTTTAGTTCTTTGAGCATTTTTAAGACAGTTGTTTTAAAATCTTTGTCTAGGGATCCCTGGGTGGCTCAGTTGGTTAAGTGTCTGCCTTTGGCTCAGGTCATGATCCCGGGTCCTAGAATTGAGCCCTGCATGGGGCTCCTTGCTCAGCAGGGAGCCTGCCTCTCTCTCTCTCTCCGCTCCCCTCACTCTAATAAATAAATAAAATCTTAAAAAAAAAAAAATAAAGTCTTTGTTTAGGTGAGCCCGGGTGGTTCAGTTGGTTAGGCATCTGACTTAATTTTGGCTCTGGTCATGATCTCAGGGTCGCACTGAGCATGGAGCCTGCTTAAGATCCGCCCCCCCCCGCACCCACCCTTTCTCTCTCAGTCAGTTATGCATCTGCTTTCCACTCAGTCCGTGATCCCAGAGTCCTGGGATGGACCCCAGCATCTTGGGCTCTCTGCTCAGTGGGGAGTCTGCTTCTCCCTTTCCCTGCTGCTCTGGCTTTCTTATGCTGTCAAATAAATTAATGGAATCTTAAAAAAAAAAAAAAATTCTCTCCTTCTTCCTCTGCCCTACCCCCACCCCACTCGCGAATGCTCTAAAAATAAATAAAGTCTTTCTCTAGTAGGCTTGACATTTAGATCTTTTTCAGAGATAGTTTCTGTTGATTTATTTTTTTCCTTTGAATGGGTCATACTTTCTGTGCATGCCTTCTGATTTTTCGTTGAACGCTGGACATTTGAGTCTAATGATGTGGTAACTCTGAAAATCATATTCTTCTTCCCCATACTGATTTTTTTGATTGTTGTAGGCTGTCTCTGGGCCAAAGATCCACTGAGGTATAAACTCAATGTTTTCTCAGGTCTTTTCTGAGCCTTTCCCTGGGTATGCACAACCACTTTTTAATTATCCCCATATATGCAGTTGTTCTGGAATGCCCTAAACTTTATTTATTTTTTTAAAGATTTTATTTATTTATTTGACAGAGAGAGAGATAGCGAGAGCAGGAACACAAGCAGGGGGAGTGGGAGAGAGAGAGAAGCAGGCTTCCCGCTAAGCAGGGAGCCTGATGCGGGAGTCGATCCCAGTACCCTGGGATCATGACCTGAGCCGAAGGCAGACGCTTAACGACTGAGTCACCCAGGCGCCCAAAGATGCCCTAAACTTTAGTCTGGCTCACAAAAGGGGAAAAGTTGAAAAATGAAAGGGGACGGGGTAAATGGCCTTTTAAATCTCCTGAATGTTACTTCAGCAGGAGGGGAAGAGGCTTGCAACAATGTCCGTGTCTGCACTGGTGTGATCAGAAGTAGCAATCAGTGATCAGAGCACAGATCTCCAATATTTGGTGAACTGGGGCCTTTTTGCCCACCCTGCTTCTACAAGCTGTGTGCAAGCTGCTCCAGGAACATGTGCACAGCTGCCTGCCAAGGGGCTGGGGGCTAGGTAGCTGCTACTGCGCTAAGAGCCCATACTGACTGGAATTACCCACAATTTACCATTCAAGTCTTCCTGTGGAAGTTGCAAGCCTTCAAGATTCCAGAGTTCCAAAATCAGATTCTGCCAGTACAACTGTTAATCTAGATGGGGTGACAGATTCCTAGTGCTTCTTACTCTGCCATCTTCCTGGGCTTTAGTTTTAATGCAAACGTACTGACCTTCACCATGGTTTGTTCTTCTTGTGTCTTAAGAACTCATTCACTATCCTGATACCATAAATACAGTCTAGGAGTCTTTAGTGTATTAATCTATTTGAAACTTCTTTTTCTGTATGATGACAGGAAGGAATCCACTCCCCCCCACCCCATCCGAGAGAGCCAACTGTCCCTGCATGATGTGTTAAATAATTTAGCTTTCTTTTTCACTGACTTACATTACTTCGGTCATTACTTCTGTCCCAAATCAATCTGTCACACACACCCCAAGAGTCTACCTGGACACTTTTACCATTGCATTGAACCCATCATCACCTAGGAAAGATTTCTACTAAAAAATGACCAGTATCAGATTAATTTTATAGACCAGGAGTTAGATAGTATATACTGGAGACTTAACCAGCCATATGCTTTCTCTCCTGAATATGCCACTCTGCTGCTGAAGCACAATAGCAGCCATAGGCAATAAGTGAATGAATGGGCAAGGCGTGCTCCAATAAAACTTTATTTATAAAATATGCAGAGACCCATACTTGGCCCTTGGGCTGTGGCCTGCCAACCCCTGCTCTAGATCTAATTATTTGTAAGAAATATAAACTAAAGTAGACTAAGTT